TCCCTTGATTCTTATCCAGATGCTTTCAAGCTGGTTTCCCGGATTGCTGTCTTGCATCTCTTCTGCAGCATAAGAATTTTTGACATATAAGGCTACTCCGCCTCCTCTCCCCTTTGTTCGATTTCTGTGAAAGAGGTTATAGTCCTCAATGTCTACATTCCAGCGATTGATGTATGACTGTGATGCCATGCTGGTGGGCCGCCACGGCAGCCATGCACTTCATGAAAAAGCAGGGTCGAGTTCAGATCTCAAAAGGAAGAACCGGAAGGAGAAAGCTCTGTGCCCTATCTTGAAGGAGAGATACTTGTGGTGATGAGCCGCAATTGCAATGTGAAAATATGCATCTTTTAAGTCTTAGGGAGCAGGGGGAGAATGGTCTGCAATGTCACCATCCAGAACCTGTGTGGCCAAATGTAGCCATTAAGGCCTCTTAGGTCCAAGATAGGCCTTATCCTCAATGCTTCTTTGGCATGAGGAAGTAAGTAGAAAAGAAAAGAAGAGAAATCAGAAGGGTGAAACAGTACAATCGCTCCCTTTTGGAGGACAGCATATACTTCATTCCAGAGCACAGTGGAGGGTGCAGTGGTGCAAACAAAGCCGACTTGGGGAATTTTCTTAAACTCAATAGCATAGTCTCAGTGTACGACATCAAGAACCCACTAGTCAGTGGTTATGGCCTGCCATGCTGAGTAAAAGCCAGCAAGTCGTGTGCCAAAGCGGACGTGTGGCTGAGATGTGGAGAGTTCACCCAAAGGGGGAGTAGCTGTGGCCTCGTGGGGTTGTGAATATTTATGGTTTTATGTCCCAGCATTGAATGTTTGCTGTATATATGTTGTGCTCCGCCCTAAGTCCCCTGCAAGGCGGAATATAAATGTTTTAAATAAATACATAAGACAAGGGAGAACTGTGAGTATTCAAAGGAGCCACCCGTGGAGCCACCCGTGAAGAGAGAGAAAAGTGAGTCTTGCTAAAAAGGGCGTTTTGCCTTGGGCTGAGAGCGCCCCCTACCCTGCTGTCGTTCCTTAGGCTGTGCCTGCTGCTTGGAGAAATGTGGGGTCCTTGGCTGACCTGATGAGTTTCCGGACAGCAGGTACGGTTTCTGTGAGTATGAGGCAGATGAAGCGCCTCTATATCGGCTGATATGTGGGCTGCTGGAATCCAATCTTTCATGCATCTGCTGCACTTCTTGGGATTCTTTAAGACTGGTATTCATGTCGGGATCGAAGAGACCTCCATAATGGGCAGGAAGATTCTCAGCTAAAGTCTTGCCCTCTTCCGGCAGTGTTGAAGTAAGGAGCCAGGCATGCCTACAGATGGAGGTGGCAATTGCAAAGAGTTTCCCTGCTGTGTCAGCCATATGTTGGGCCATATACTTCTGGGCCCGGCCCAAAATAAGCACCTCCTTATGGTAGGCCTTGGACATACTTTGTTGGTCTGGTGGAAGGAGGTCAAGATTGGGTGCTATCTTTTGTCATAAAAAGTCCATGTATGTACCATAATGCGCTATGCAGTGACCAGACTCGCATTAGTGTGCTCCTTCCTCCTCATAGTCTCCAATTTCTTCCCCTTTGTAAGACAGGGTACGTTGAGTGGTGGTAGAGCACTTACCCTACTGAAGGATGTAGGCCATGGTAACAATGACAGTGTTCGGTTTAGGTGGTTTGCCTACTCACTGTACTGATTTATTTATTTATTTACTTACTTTATTTGTATATCGCTCTTCTCAGCCATTAGGCGACTCAGAGTGGTTAACAACAAGCAGCGGCAAAAATTCAATGCAAACATCATACAGCCATTTAAAAAACAATTAACACAATAATACACTAAGCAATTAACATCAATAACCATCAATAAACATCAATAAACAACTCACTAGCATCTCATAACTAAAATCATAATCCAAGCTCATCATCCATTGTTCCGATTTCCTATAATTCATTGTAATTAATTGCACTGCCTATTCAAACGCCTGTTCAAATAACCAGGTTTTCACTTTCTTCCGAAATGAGGGAGCTGATCTGATGTCTGTGGGTAGGGTGTTCCACAGCTGAGGGGCCACCACCGAGAAGGCCCTGTCCCTCGCCCCCGCCAACTGTGCCTGAGTTGCAGGCGGGATCGAGAGCAGGGCCTCCCCAGAAGATCTTAAAGTCCTAGTGGGTTCATAGGCGGAGATGTGTTCGGATAGGTAACTTGGGTCAGATCAAGATGATACCTGGTATTCTGGCAGCAGGAGAGGGCAGGGACTTCAGATGGTACCTGGTCTGGGTTCCTGGCCAGCTGGATGAGGTATGAAAGAGATGACAATGCCATAGACACAGCTGCTTGCTGGACTTGTTGCTCTGGTGGAAACAGAGTGTCTTCCGTGGATTGATGAGCCTTCTGAGTTGGCAGGCTCAAAAACTTCACAAGACAAATCATCAAAGCAAAAAAGGCAGCAATATCACCAGGAGGAACAGACCGAAGGGCCTCCAAGCACTCTGACTCAGACACTCAGCATCTGAATCCCACCAAGGAAGAGGTACAGCTGAGGCCTGTGTTACCTGTGAGGAGAGAACCAGTGGGTCTTGAGAGGCATAGGGCCTATGATGATGAGGGCCCTGCACCGGGCTAAAGGAATAGGTCCTGCCACCAAGGGAGCTGTAGTCTTGACGATAGGAATCGCCATATATCAGTGGCGATGGTGGTGTGGAGGGGAGTCATAGTAAGAAGAATAAGATACCCAAGAGACTTCATATGTTGACCTGCTGAGGGAGCGCAAGTAGCAGTTCTGAGACGCGCTGGCAGCACGATGGGAGTGGGAGCAGCATGGGCGCCAGTCCTGCAGCACCAATGGTGGTAGTGGGAGGAATGCCACCACACCTGCTCTGCAGAAGGCTGCTCCAGTTGCCGCACTCTATGTGTCTTCTGCTTCTTATTTGCCGGTTTCTGTGCAGGTGAGCGGGTGCGGGTAGCGCCCAGCCACTTGTGCTGGCAGTCAGCGATGGGCTGGGCACCCAGTCCCGGTGCGGGAGCTGCTGGTGGCTCCAAAACTGCTCAGTGCCCTGCTGGGCCAGCTGGAACATGGGCCTTTCCACGAAGAAGGGCCTTCAGCTGAGGTTCCAGTTCTTCCTTGCCCACAGCGTTAACATCTGGCAAAAAGTACAGAAATTCACTGAGTAGGCTTCACCCAAACAAAGAAGGTACATTAATGTGCATCTCCCTCCAGGAGCTTATCCTCACAGGAGACACAGGATGTAGATAAGAGTAGCCATTGTACAGACCAGGTTGATGCGCCAAAGCGGTAAGGATAGTTGTATGTTCCAAATTGGAGGTTGGAGAAAAACAAGTCAAAGTTAAAAAAAATCAGTCCAAGTCAAAGTTAGGAGAGAGTAAAAAAGGGCATCCAGTAACAATCTGAGTCATAAAATGCTTTGTAAAATCAGAGAGGTTTCTGCTATACTGCTGCAAAGGTGGTGGAAAAAAGGAACTAAGGACTACTGCCCCTCCCATAGCCTATATTGCCTCCTGGGGAATGTGAGCTGGGCCCTAGCTACAAGCCTGATAGCTTTCCAGAAGGTTCCACTGATTGCTGCCATCAACTACCATATGTGCTTATTTCACCAGAGACCACAAAGAAGAAACTGACTTCTGTGGTTTTGATGTCCACAAGAGGCTGTGGTAGAAAGTTCCAAAAAATAAAAATAAAAATAAAATTCCAAAATATTTAAAAATATATATTGGATAAAAAGTTTAGTGAAAAAAAACTTAGACAAAATAGGGGATTGGATAAAGGTTGGAATGAAGAAAGAAATGATTATGGGAGGATTTAAAGAAATAAAACGACATGGTTCCATTGCATAGAATTAGAGCAATGATTCAAAAATTGGGTTAAAAATAATAAAAATGCAAGTAAGCTTAATTAATTTAAACAAATAATACAAAATGGGATATAAAAGAACATAGAAATTTGGAAGGAATAACTAGTAAAGTATATAAGATAATAAATGAAATAAATGAAGGAAAAATAAAGAATAACTCCCTTGAGGAGATCTCGGAAGAAGATTTAGGGAGGAAAATAAATGAAATGGGGTGGTTACAATTAAGGAGACAAAGACACTTGAAAAAATTATCAACACGGGTTAAAGTGTTGATAATTGGGTGCAAAATTATTCTTAAAAAGTCAGAAAAGTGTCCAGTGCTTTTTGTTTTGGGGGAGAAATTATTGATTGTTTTCCCCATCTGATATATGGCAAAATAGCTGAGGATCACGCTATACTCCCTGTCACAGCTGATCACATTCTTGTACATGGATTTATCTTTAACGGTGCTCCATGTTGTATGCAGTTTTCTTTTACTCAGTGCAGTCTATTGTGTTTTTTTTAAAAAAAACCCTCTAAATTGGCTAAAGTATTTTAATTGCAAACTCCTTTAACATCAACATTTCCTCACATTTCCTCACATCTTTCATAAATTGTATTCTATAGAAGATTTCAAGACTTCACACCAAACAGCTGCAACAGGCTCAAAATGAAAACATTTATTTCTTTTTAAACAGACTATAATATAGTGATGCTCATCCATGTTGACAACCATTAAAAAAAAAACTAAGATACTGTGTAATTCCATTTTTAAAAATTTGCCATGTATTTCATGTAGGAAAATTTTCCAGGTGGTTTTTCTAAGATATGAATAAAAAATATGAAACGAATAGCTCTTATTAAATAGCCTGTTGGTAACAGAGTGACTGTAGAAAAGCAAGCAAAGTGGAGAATGAATGAGATGAGTTGGGAACTTCACCAGGCACACTATGATTAAAAACAGATGGCACTCAACATTTTGAGAAATTCTTTTCTTCTTGGACATGGAGAAAAATATTAAATATATGAATTTAATAACTAACAAAAAGGAACATTCATTTTAATTCAAGTACATGAAAAAAATTTCTGAAGTTTCAATAGCTATTGAGGCTGTTCCTAAAAATTAACAGAACTGTAAAATAAAAGAAATAAATTCATTTTTACTCTGCCTTTTGGTTTTTTTTCATCTGATATGCAGGTGTGTGCAAATCTTCAATGGTCTCTGCAATAGGTTTGTTTAGCGTTTCTGGAAGCAGAAGAGTCAGGAAACCAGCTGATAGTCCACTGATTCCGAAGGCCACAAATGGTACAGATGGACCCAGGATTTTCTAGATTAAATTTAAAAAGTTTTATGAACTACTTCGCCCACACCGAAGCATATTAAAGAACAAACACCCAGGTCTGTTACATTAAAATAAATTAAAAGAAACAGTGGGTCCTATAGTGCTGAAAAACTATTAAAAGACATGCTCTCAAGTGTTTATGCCAAAGTTAGGGGCAAAATAACACAACATGGAAACATTATTTTTTATTACAACACCCATAACATCATATTAGCTAGCACGGTTTGTGCATGCTACATACTTTGTGACTTTATCAGAACATTCAAGTGTTTTCATTTCCATTAGTAATGATGACGTATTATTTTCTAGTCATCAAAAGTAACCTACTTCATTTTTGTGAAGCCCTCCCCTTCACAAAAATGTATATAGCAATCTATATAAATAAAAATGTAATGTTTGTTTGTGGGATTAACAGAACTCAGAAACCACTGGACGAATTGACACCAAATTTGAACACAAGACACCAACTAAAGCAATCTATGTCCTTCACTAAAAAAAAAAAAAAAAATTAACCGGAGAGAACTTAAACCCCCCACAAAGCTAAATGACTATACAGAGCATGTGTTAAAAGAATACCCTCCCCCGCCCTTCCCTCCTGCACAAGGGAAAAAACGCAACAGCTGAGAGAGAGGTAACTTGAGAGAGGGAGGGGAAGGTGGCTAGTATATCCCTCTTGCTACCTCCTGCCTCTCTCTTCCCAAAGGATGAGAGAGAGAGAGAGGACACCCTCCTCCAGATCCACCCCCTCCCTTTCCTTCCTTTCCTTTCCTTTCCTGCTGTCGGCAGCATAGAGGTGCCTCCGCTGCAAACTCACACAGGAGGGATTCTCTCTCTCTCTCTCTCTGTGCCCAGAAAGCTCACCCATACTGAGTTATGGGAAGGAATTCTGGGAAATGAAGTCAAATATTCAAAGAGAGGACAAAAAGACATGCTCTGTGAGTTAGAAAAGGCTGTCCAGGAAGGCACAATCAAAACACTCCTGAAAGATGGCCATACATTTTTACTTTATAGCAACCCTGTGCTATAATATATCTACAATAATAATACCTATATATCTATCATAATAATATCTATAAATCTAATATATATATCTATGTCTATGATATCTATATATCTATAACAATTATATTTACATATCTATAATAATATCTGTATGTCTGTAATAATAATGTCTATATGCCTATAATATCTATAAGTCTATAATAATATCCATATGTCTATAATTATAATATCTGTCAATAATATCTATACATCTATAATAATAATAATACCTATATGCCTATAATATCTATGTCTATAATAATAATAATACCTATATACACGTATAATAATATGTATACATATTATTATAGATACTATAATAGCTATATAGCTATAATATATAGTATCTATATTATTATAGATACTATACTAATATAGATATAGATACTATACTAATAATAATATAGTATCTATATTATTATAGATATTATAATAGCTATATAGTATCTATAATAATAATAATAATAATAATAATAATAATAATATCTATCTGCCTATAATAATATCTATCGATCTGTAATAATATCCATACATCTGTTGCCAGTTTTTGCTTGAAAGATGTTTAGCCCTGTGCTCCTTCTACTTTTTATCAGTTTTATACTAATTCATGCAATGCTTTGAGTCCCCCCAGGGGTGAGAAAGGTGGTATATAAATACTTTAAATAATAAAATAAAATTTGGATATGAAATAAAAAAATAATATCTATAATAATATCTATATGCTTATAATAATATCTATATTATTATAAGCATATCTATATTATTATAACGACAACAACAACAACACCTATATAATATCTTTGAACTGGGTTATATGGCAGTGTGGACTCAGGTAACCCAGGGCCCTTCCACACATCCATATAACCCTTTGGCCTCGAGGAGACTGAAAAGGGGCCTTTATTAGGTTGACACTTTGCCACTTCAGTTGTGTATTGGTGGCTTAGAAACCAGCTCTTCCTCTTTTCTTTCTTTCCCATTTCTTCACAATGGGCCACAGCAACGTGTGGCTGGGTACAGCTAGTTGTTAAATATAATTTTGATCTACATGTACAATGTCATGGTCATCACTGAAACCTAGTGGGATGACTCCTATTGCTGGAATGTAGACATCAAGGGTTATAACCTCTTTCACAGAAACAGAACAAAGGGGAGAGGAGGCGGAGTAGCTTTATATGTCAAAAACTATTACGCTACAGAAGAGATGCAAGACTGCAATCTGGGAAACTAGCTTGAAAGCATCTGGATAAGAATCAAGGGAACTGGGACTCAAAATGATCTCGTTGTAGGCATCTACTACAGACCTCCAAGCCAGGATGGAGAAGTTGATGAAGCCTTCTGCCAACAGTTGACCAAACAGATACAAAGAAGAGAAATAATAGTCATGGGCGATTTCAACTATCGCGATATTTGCTGGAAAACAAACTTGGCCAAGAGTACAAAGTCCAACAAATTCCTCACTTGCCTTACAGACAATTTTATGGTCCAGAAAGCAGAAGAGGCAATAAGAGAATTAGCTACTCTTGATCTCATCCTAACAAACGTAGAGGACCTGATCGATGCAGCTGAAGTGGTTGGATCCTTAGGGGCAAGTGACCATGTGCTCCTGCAGTTTGAGGTACAAAGGAAGGCTGCATTTTGGACTTTAGGAGAGCTGACTTCCGAAAAATGAAGGAAATACTGAGCAGCATTCCATGGATGCAGATACTAAAAGACAAGGGAGTTATGCATGAATGGGAGTTTTTCAAGAATGAAATACTCAAGGCGCAATTGCAAACAGTGCCAACAAAGAGAAAAAATAAAACAAATGCAAAGAAGCCAGAATGAATGTCCAAAGAACTTCTAACTGGGCTAAGACTCAAAAGAGACATGCACAAGAAGTGGAAAAGGGGAGATATCACCAAAGAAGAATTCAAACAAACAACCAACTCCAGTAGGAAGAAGGTTTGCAAGGCTAAAGCACAAAATGAGCTGAGGCTTGCCAGGGACATTAAAAACAATAAAAAGGGCTTATCTGCTTATGTCGGTAGAAAAAGGAAGAACAAGGAGGCAATAGGGCCTCTGCGAGGAGAAGATGGGGAAATGTTGACAAGGGGATAGAGAAAAGGCAGAACTACTTAATGCCTTCTTTGCCTCAGTATTCTCACAAAAAGTAAGCTATCCTCAACCTCAGCAACATGGAATGGATTAAGGAATAGGGGAAATCCAACTCCAAATAGGGAATCAAGTTGTCCACGAATACCTGACCGCTCTAAATGAATTCAAGTCCCCAAGGCCAGATCAACTACACACAAGAGTATTGAAGGAACTAGTGGAAGTCATTTTGGAACCCCTGGCAATCATCTTCTTGGAGAACAGGAGAAGTACCAGCAGATTGGAGGAGGGCAAATGTGGTCCCAATCTTCAAGAAGGGAAAAAAGAATGACCCAAAGAATTACTGTCCGGTCAGCCTCATGTTGATACCAGGCAAGATTCTGGAAAAAATTGTTAAGGAAGTGGTCTGCAAACACTTAGACATTGCAGACATTGCTAATAGTCAACATGGATTTATCAAAAACAAGTCAATCTGATCTCTTTTTTCGATAGAGTTACAAGCTGGGTAGATGCGGGGAACGTCGTGGATGTAGCATATCTGGATTTCAGTAAGGCCTTCGGCAAGGTCCCCATGACCTTCTGGCAAACAAACTAGGCAAATGTGGGCTAGGCAAAACTACGGTTAGTTGGATCTGTAATTGGTTAAATGAACAAACTCAGAGGCTGCTCACCAAAGCTTTCTCTTCACCCTGGAAAGAAGTGACGAGTGGAGTGCCAGAGGGTTCCGTCCTGGACCCAGTCCTGTTCAACATCTTTATTAATGACTTAGATGAAGGGTTAGAAGGTATGATCCTCAAGTTTGCAGACAACACCAAATTGGGAGGGATAGCAATACTCCAGAAGACAGGAGCAGAATCAAAATGATCTTAACAGATTAGAGAGATGGGCCAAAACTAACAAAATGAAACTAACAGTGACAAATGCAAGATCCTCCACTTAGGCAGAAAAAAATGAAATGCAAAGATACAGAATGGGGGACTCCTGGCTCGACAGTAGTACATGTGAAAAAGATCTTGGAGTCCTTGTGGACAACAAGTTAAACATGAGCCAACAATGTGATGCTGCAGCTAAGAAAGACAATGGGATTTTGGTCTGCATAAATAGGAGTATAGTGTCTAGATCCAGGGGAATCACGCTACCCCTCTATTCTGCCTTGGTTGGAGCACACCTGGAATACTGTGTCCAATTCTGGGCACCAGAATTGAAGAGAGATATTGACAAGCTGGAATGTGTCCAGAGGAGGTGACTAAAATGATCAAGGGTCTGGAGAACAAGCCCTATGAGGAGCAGCTTAAAGAGCTGGGCATTTTTAGCCTGGAGAAGAGAAGGATGAGAGGAGAGATAGCCATGTATAAATATGTGAGGGGAAGTCATAGGGAGGAGGGATCAAGCTTGTTTTCTGCTGCCCTGGAGACTAGGATGCAAACAATGGCTTCAAACTACAAGAAAGGAGATTCCACCTAAAGCATTGTTGTTGTTCATTCGTTCAGTCGTCTCCGACTCTTCGTGACCTCATGGACCAGCCCACGCCAGAGCTCCCTGTCGGCCGTTACCACCCCCAGCTTCCTCAAGGTCAGTCCAGTCACTTCAAGGATGCCATCCATCCATCTTGCCCTTGGTCGGCCCCTCTTCCTTTTGCATTCCATTTTCCCAGCATAATTGTCTTCTCTAGGCTTTCCTGTCTCCTCATGATGTGGCCAAAGTACTTCAACTTTGTCTCTAGTATCCTTTCCCTCCAATGAGCAGTCGGGCTTTATTTCCTGGAGGATGGACTGGTTGGATCTTCTCGCAGTCCAAGGCACTCTAGAACTTTCCTCCAACACCACAGCTCAAAAGCATCGATCTTCCTTCGCTCAGCCTTCCCTAAGGTCCAGCTCTCACATCCGTAGGTTACTACAGGGAATACCATGGCTTTGACTAGGCGTATCTTTGTTGCCATTCTGATGTCTCTACTCTTTACTATTTTATCGAGATTGGACATTGCTCTCCTCCCAAGAAGTAAGCGTCTTCTGATTTCCTGGCTACAGTCTGCATCTGCAGTAATCTTTGCACCTAGAAATACAAAGTCTGTCACGGCCTCCACATTTTCTCCCTCTATTTTCCAGTTGTCAGTCATTCTTGTAGCCATAATCTTGGTTTTTTTGGCGTTTAGCTGCAACCCAGCTTTTGCGCTTTCTTCTTTCACCTTGATTAGAAGGCTCCTCAGCTCCTCCTCGCTTTCGGCCATCAGAGTGGTGTCATCTGCATATCTGAGGTTGTTAATGTTTCTTCCAGCAATTTTCACCCCAGCTTTGCATTCATCCAGCCCCGCACATCGCATGATGTTCTGCATACAAGTTAAAAGGTTGGGTGAGAGTATGCAGCCTTGTAGTACGCCTTTCCCAATCTTGAACCAGTCTGTTGTTCCGTGGTCAGTTCTGACTGTTGCTACTTGGTCCTTGTACAGATTCCTCAGGAGAGAGACAAGGTGGCTTGGTATGCCCATCCCACCAAGAACTTGCCACAATTTATTATGATCCACACAGTCAAAGGCTTTAGAATAGTCAATGAAGCAGAAGTAGATGTTTTTTCTGAAACTCCCTGCCTTTCTCCATTATCCAGCGGATATTGGCAATTTGGTCTCTCGTTCCTCTACCTTTTCTAAACCCAGCTTGAACATCTGGCAACTCTCGCTCCATGTTTTGCTGGAGTCTTCCTTGCAGGATCTTGAGCATTACCTTACTGGCATGAGAAATAAGGGCCACTGTACGGAAGTTTGAGCAGTCTTTCGCATTTCCCTTTTTTGGTATGGGGATATAAGTTGATTTTTTCCAGTCTGATGGCCATTCTTGTGTTTTCCATATTTGCTGGCATATGGCATGCATCACCTTGACAGCATCATCTTTAAAGATTTTAAACAGTTCAGCTGGGATCCCGTCATCTCCTGCTGCCTTGTTGTTAGCAATGCTTCTTAAGGCCCATTCAACCTCACTCCTCAGGATGTCTGGTTCTAATTCATTCACCACACCGTCAAAACTATCATCAATATTATTATCCTTCCTATACAGATCTTCTGTATAGTCTCGCCACCTTCTCTTGATCTCTTCAGCTTCTGTTAGGTCCCTGCCATCTTTGTTTCTTATCATACCAATTTTTGCCTGAAATTTACCTCCAATGTTTCTAATTTTCTGGAAAAGGTCTCTTGTCCTTCCTATTCTGTTGTCTTCTTCACTTCCATGCATTGCTTATTTAAAAATAGTTCCTTATCTCTTCTGGCTAACCTCTGGAATTGCGCATTTAACTGGGCATATCTCCCCTTATCCCTGTTTCCTTTTGCTTTCCTCCTTTCTTGGGCTACTTCCAGTGTCTCAGCGGACAACCATTTTGCCTTCTTGGTTTTCTTTTTCTTTGGAACGTACTTTGTTGCCGCCTCCTGAACAATGTTGCGGACTTCTGTCCATAGTTCTTCTGGGACTCTGTTTACTAAATCTAGTCCTTCAAATCTGTTCTTCACTTCCACTGTATATTCGCTAGGAATGTTAGTGAGATCATATCTAACTGGTCTGTGTATTTTCCCTGATCTCTTTAGTTTTATTCTAAATTGTGCAATAAGAAGTTCGTGATCTGAGCTACAGTCAGCCCCAGGTCTTGTTTTCACCGACTGGATGGATGTCCGCCACCTTTGGCTGCAAAGGATGTAGTCAATCTGATTTCGGTGTTGACCGCTGGTGAGGTCCATGTATAAAGCCGTCTTTTAGGTTGTTGGAAGAGAGTATTCGTTATACACAGCGAGTTTTCCTGGCAAAATTCTATCAGCCTGCGTCCCGCTTCATTTTGTTCTCCCAGACCATGCTTGCCTGTGATCCCAGTTGTCATTTGACTTGCCACCTTGGCATTCCAGTCTCCTGTAATGAAAATAATGTCTCTTTTTGGTGTATTATCCAGTAGGTCCTGCAGATCCTCATAGAACTGATCTACTTCTGCTTCTTCAGCAGCTGTGGTTGGGGCGTATATTTGGATCACTGTAATGTTGAAAGGCTTTCCTTGCCCTCGAATTGAGATCATTCTGTCATTTTTTGGGTTGTATCCAAGCACCGCTTTAGCGAATTTCTTATTAATTATGAAGGCTACTCCATTTCTTCGATGTTCCTCTTGTCCGCAGTAGTAGATCTGGTGGTCATCTGATGTGAAGTGGCCCATTCCAGTCCACTTCAGTTCGCTGACCCCCAGAATGTCTATCTTTAGTCTTGACATCTCGCCAATAACAACATCCAATTTGCCCTGGCTCATAGATCTTACATTCCAGGTTCCTATGGTGTGTTGATCTTTAGAGCATCGGATTCGTCGTTCACCTCCAGTACCGTCGGCCGCTAGCCTTCCTTTCGGCTTTGAGCTAGCTGCGTCATCACATCTGGGGCTAGTTGAACTTATCATCTGCTCTTCCCCAGTAGCATTTTGGCCATCTTCCGACCTGGGAGTCCCATCTTCCAATGGCATACCGACATATCTCTGGTTGTACTGGTCCATTTAGTTTTCTTGGCAAGGATACTGGAGTGGTTTGCCATTGCCTTCCCCAGGGATCACGCTTGGTCTGATCTCTCTGCCACAACCGTCCCGTCTTGGGTGTCCCTTCACGGTTTCGCTCATGACATCATTGAGGTGCTCAAGCTCCAGCGCCCCGACAAGGCGGTGATCCTTTGCTGGAGACCTGAACATTAGGAAGAACTTCCTAACTGTGAGAGCTGTTCAGCATTGGAACTCTCTGCCCTGAGGTGTGATTGAGGCTCCTTCTTTGGAGGCTTTTAAACAGAGGCTGGATGGCCATCTGTTGGGGGTGCTCTGAACGCAAAATTGTCCTGCTTCTTGGCAGGGGGTTGGACTGGATGGCCCATGAGGTTTCTTTCAACTCTATGATTCTATGATGTTATCATTCTCTTTTAAAAATATATTATATATCGTACTAGCAAAATAAAATGTTAGGAAAAGTGCTGCTTACCAGAGAAGGAACAAACGGAGCCAAAATGCCACCAAATCGACAAGTCATTGAGCACACACCTAAGCCAGCATTTCTGTTTAAAAAAAAAACATTAGTCTAAAGTATTTGCAAAGTATTCTTCTATGAGAGTAAAAAATTTAAATAAACAAACAAGCAAGAACAACTCAAATTAATTCTTCTGTAACCCACCACAAGGAGAGGTGGGTAAGAAATATAACAACAACAATAATAATACACAACTTTATTATGCAGTGTTTTTATATTTTAAAAAAAGAAGTACATTTCTACTTCTCAACATAACGTAATTTCTGTCCTGGCTAGTGAGAAAGCGTCAACACTCCACGTGATTCTCAGCACTCTGTGATCTATCAACATCTGGAAACAACTTTTTGTATGTACACAGGGGCATAAGTACACACAAACACACACAGAACCATCCCTATGTAGGCAAAATGCATCATGCATTGGGCAAAATTGTGTATTTTGTAATAAAGTTACTTTGATAACTGGCTGGAACCCTAAACCTTACAGTATTTTGTTGCTGGTTCGCTTTAGCAACTATACTGAACATGTAAATTCTCCAACTGACAGGCATAAATGGATTCCAAAAAAAAATAAAGGATGCATTTCTTGAGTATGTCAATCTTTTATGGAAAGGCATCAGAATTATAAACGATGTGTGTGCTCGAAATACAGAGCAGATATTTACAAGGGAGGATTGTGATTCAACACTATAGGTATACCTATGCTTGTACCAGACACATAGGTAGATGATAGAAAAAGGGATAGTGATACACACTGGTGTTTCTTAAACCATAGTTCTCATTTAAAGAGAATTCTCTTTTGTCATAAAGATTAGTGATGTGTAAGGTTAAGAGGAGACATGATAAAAGGTAAAGGTAAAGGTTTCCCCTGACATTAGGTCTAGTCATGCCTGACTCTGGGGGATGGTACTAATCTCCATTTCTAAGCCAAAGAACCAGCATTGTCCATAGACACCTCCAAGCAGGCCTGTAGCCTGGGTTTTTTTAGAGGTTCAACCCCCCCCCCCAAATTTTTCAGGTTAAAAAAAACTGGTTTATTCATGAATTTTAACTAGTTAACCAAATCCCCATGCTAAGTCTATGAGACGCAAAAAATTAAGAGTCCCTCCAGAACTGCAAGCACTATCTCAAGCAAATATTGACAATTTATTCACACTGTCATTACTTGCAGCAATAGCCGATGTAGCGAAGCAACCAATTTGGGGGGGGAGGGTGTTGAATGCTCTCATTAAGGAGGCCAGACTTGGTGGTTGACAGGGGCAGAGCTGCAGGCTATTGAAGGCTGCTTTGCCCCCTGCCATGCTCTTTGCTTCAGTGTGAGCTAGGAGGCAGGTTTCAAACCTCCCCCCCCCCAAATTTTCAACCCTCCCCAAAAAAGATTTCTGGCTACGGCCCTGCCTCCAAGGTCATGTGTCTGGCATGACTGAATGGAGCGCCATTACCTTCCCGCCAAGGCAGTACCTATTGATCTACTCACATTTGCATGGTTCCGAACTGCTAGGTTGGCAGAAGCTGGGGCTAACAGCGGGAGTTCACCCTGCTCCTCAGATTCGAACAGCTAACCTTTCAGTCAGCAAGTTCAGCAGCTCAGTGGTTTAACCTGCTGCGCCAGCAAGGGGCCCATGGAGACAGGATAGCCATGTATAAATATGTGAAAGGGTGTCAGAAGGAAGAGGGAGCAGACTTGTTTTCTGCTACCCTTGAAACTAGAACTCGGAGCAGTGAGTTCAAATTACAGGAAAGGAGATTCCATCTGAACATTAGAAAGAACTTCCTGACCATACAAGTTGTTCAACACAGTGGAATTCTCTGCCTTGGAGTGTGGTGGAAGCTCCTTCCTTGGAAACTTTTAAACAGAGGCTGGGTGGCCATCTGTCGGGGATATCTTATGCTTTTCCTGCATCACTGGGGTTGGACTAGATGGCCTGTTCTGACTCCAGAGAATTTATAATCTGCTCCCTGTGCCTTTAAGGATGGGGTGGGGGGGGGGGGAGAGGAGCTCAAGCCTGTAGAATGGCAGTTTATTTCAGTTAGAGATAGTCAGTTGAAAACTAGGAACAGAAGGAACAGAGCAGTGGTTCTCAACCTGTAGGTCCCCAGATGTTTTGGCCTACAGCTCCCAGAAATCCTAACAGCTGGTAAACTGGCTGGGATTTCTGGGAGCTGTAGGCCAAAACACCCGGGGACCCACAGGTTGAGAACCACTGGAACAGAGGGTTAGAAAGAATACAGGATTTCATGTCATGTCGGAGATATATTGATAGTAAAATAATACAGTCACATCAGAGATGCATAGATAGTTATACATGCGTTATATAAATAGTAAAATAATATAGATAGTCCAGTAGGAGATAATTAGTTATAGAGTTAGATTATAGTATAGAAGTCACATCTAATATCTATTTAGTAAAATAAAGGCAGTCACATTTTGGATTAAATACAAGGCTGCAGAAGATCATAGGATTTCCTTTCCATAAAGACTTACAGTGGCAACCAAAGGAAAGGAAATTAAGTTTGTTTAAATAAACATTATCTTACTTTACACACAGCCTCCGATCTGTCCTTTGTTGTGTTAAAATTCTTTCCAATCCAATCCAAGTAATACAGAGGCAGAACATGGCCCATGTGGTCTCTTCCAACTCTATGATTCTATGATTGTATGAATTGAAACTCTATGTACCACTTGTCTGTGAATGACAGGTTCTCGGGCACAGAATTGGTTACAGCCTAACCACATTGTTTTGTTTCAAGGATAAATCTGGGGACCAGGGAATGGTTTGGGAGACAAACCTTACAGCTACTCTGAGTGCTCTGAGGAAGGCCGGAATAAAAATGCTGACTTTAAATAAAGTTATAACTAAAGGCGGTGGGGAATGCAAATAAGTGGTTTCATTGTGCCTTCTCGAATGGCAGGGGGTTGCTTTCCCGGTAGTATCTTCCAACCCTGTGTTTCTATATTTCCATGAAATGTAGTTTCGATTGCCAATTTAGATCGTTCTAGCTCACACTGAATAAACTATACTGAAATAATTACAAGGTACAATAAATAAAAAGACAGGTCTGGTCATTATCTATATAAAGACATTTTGCAGCACTAGCTCTGAACACTAGGTGGTAATATAACACTATGCTCAAATTATTCTAGAGTTTGTCCTCAATATTAAGAAAATATCAAATAGGAACATGTTTTCCTGCTACACATTTAAGCAAGAAGTAATATTTTAAAGGGGATTAGCTGTTCACATATATAGAAAAAGACCTTTCTCTTTCCAATGCACTCTCATCTTTGAAAAGCAGTGCATGAATAATTTTGTCCCAGAAACATGCATTTAAATTTTTCAGTGGTCACTCAAGTCCCTTTTTCTTAAAGCAATTTAAGACTAAGATGTGAATAATGACATAATTCAATCTGACACCGTCTTGATGTACAAGACGAAGAGTGACCAACTGTAGCATGGCTGCAGTTTTCAACCCTACACCAGCCAAAGATCAAAACCAGCTGTGGGCTGCAACTTCCAGTAAAGCCTTTTTCGATGGACTGGTGTTGTAGTGACATGTGTATGCGGGGAAGGGGCGGGGAGGGAGGAAAGAGCCACAAAGAGAATTGGAAAAATGAGGAACAGGAAAGGGAAGGGAAGGGAAGGAAAAGAAGATGGAAAGAAGGAAAAGAAAGGAAAGAGAAAAAGGTATGAGAGAAAGTGTCAGAATGTCCGTAGAGGCTTGGAGTTAGCTGTTCTGTTCACCCTGTGACATGGATGTTTAGTGGAGGAGGCTAGGAGAATGGATGAGAATACAGCTTAAATAAGGCCATCTGGACTGGGAGGAAAACAAAACTGTAGGATAGCAATTGTGGGAATGGCATGTAGCCAGTAGAGGGAAAGGGATAGTTGAATGATATACCCAGGGGTTAGCGGGAAACTTTCAGAACTGTCTTCCTATTGCCTATGGTAAGATGGAAATAAAGCTGTATCCAAGGATTTGCCTTTGTGAGCTGGCTTTTAATCCAAGAGCTTCGGGGTTAAGACAGTTCTCACTCCGACACGTATACCGTATTGCTTGCAATCATACAGTAAGAGCACCATATCTTTGGAGGAGTCCTGGTACCTATTAGAAACTCAGGGTGTGATGGATCCAGAGATGAGCTCTCAATGGGCTTTGACTGCAGCACTTGAAATGGAACTATCCAATATGGATAGTGAGGCTTGCACTGATCTTCTGATAACTGGGTTGCCCCTGACCTCCATCCAGATGCCAGTGAGAAGAGGTGTAACATTGTGATAGAACCCCCCCCCCCCGGTGGTAGGAATGGGAGAAATGCCAGAAAAAAAGGTTGATGCTATGGAGAGAATGCTGCAGACCTTCTCTCTCCAGCTCAATGAGATGAGGAAGGAGGTTATGGCATCCTGGATGGTGGTCGCAGAACAAAGAGATCAAAGGTGAAGCCAGTCCCAGAGAGGCAGCATTCTGGCCATCGGGCAGAGTGATGTTTGAAGACATGGTGGACGATGTTGAACAGCAGGGTGCCTCTGTTTTCCCAACAGGATTATCGAGGAGAAGCCAGCTACAAGCAGTGCCTGGCAGAGGGGAGCTATGAGTGAAGTTTAATGGAGACCCAACACAGCTCTCTTACTTCATAACAAATGGGAGGCATTTTAAGGAAGAAGTTTTCCCTTCAGAAGGGGCAAAAATTCATGCCATAGGGGCAAACTTGAAAGAGCCAGGAGCTGAATGGTTAATGCAAATGTGTGACACTAGGGCCCCTTAGCTAAGACAACTGGATGATTTCTTGAGAGCCTTAAGAGAGAGATATTTGCCCTGGCAAAAACAAAAGCCAAAGGTCAGTTAAAGAAAATTTACCAAGGGGCCAATACAGTGTCGGAATACGCTCTGGAATTTAAAACAGTAGCAGGAAAGATCTGGGACTGGTCAGAGACTACCAAGTTGGAATACTGCAGGATGGGACCAAGAACAGATTTGCTAGAATGCGCCCTACATTGTGGCAATCCGGATACTTTGGACGAGTGGATTGTACTGGCTGGAAGAGTGGAATGTGACAAGGAACAGATGCCGTGACAACCAAGAGACAGAGGAGGATGACACCCAGCAGCAGTTCAGACGGGAGGGGCCTGCCGCTCCCACATGGGAGGATGATCAGTCAGCAAAGAGAAGAAAGGAAAGAACGGAGAATGCTTTACGTGTGGGCATGAAGGCCACAGAGCAGCTGGCTGTTAAAAACCCAGCAGAAAAGGGACAAGTCCCTTCCACAGAAGACTCCTCTTCCTCCTAAGGTGGCCAAAGAAAAAATGTCCACAGAAACGGAGACGTCTTGAGCCCCAGGCCAACTACCGGCTGAAGGAGGAGAGTTGGAATTGGAACATGCCGACTGGTTGACAGGAAATGGCAATGACCTGCTTTAGATGCCCGACAGCAGATCAAATCACCCCAGGGCGAAGACGTGAGTTTTAATTGTGCGTAGGTCAGGGTAGAATTACAAAGCCCCAAGATGGGAATGCAGGTAGAAGCAGAAGCACTGCTAGACTGTGGATGTACCAGATGTTTGATCACTCAATCTCTAGCTAACCAGTTAGAAGTAAAAGCCCAGCATGTAAGAACACCTGTTTCATTCTCACAGCTTGATAAGTCCATGGTCAATGGGACCCCAGTAAAAGAAAACACTAATTTTTTGAGAATGCAGATGGGGTCCCACCATTTCCTGCCCCTCAAGGCACTTCCCTCCATGCCAGAGTTGGCTAAATTGTTCATACATCACATCTTCCAGCTTCATGGGTGCTCAGAATAATATCTGATCGAGGCCCTCAGTATACTTCAAGGTTTTAGAAAAGCTTTCTTAACTTGATGGGCACTGAGCGGTCTCTCAGCATTGCATTTCACTCTGACAGATGGGACCACAGAACGGGTCCAGAAAATGTTGCAACAATGTTTAAGGTGTTATAGTATTCATCAACAAGACCAGTGGAGGTTTTGTTTTTGGTTTTGTGGAGTTTTCTTAAAATAATTCTCACCATTCGTCTACTGGTGTCTCCCTGTTTAAAGCTGGGGGGGGGGGGGGGAAGGAGATTTCCCACCTTTTCCTGAGTTAGCTGCACCACACAAAACGGGAAGGGTGCTGCATGAGTGGGGAGAGAAGGTGACTGCTGCCTGGACGATTACACATTCGACATTGCAGTCAGCCAAACAGGATTACCAAAATATTGCTGACTGGGAGAGAGCTGTGCAACCCGATTTCAAAGTAGGAGACTTGGTTTATCTGTCAACTAAATATTTAAAATCCACACAGCCCTCTCAGAAGTTTTCACCTCGGTTTGCTGGATCCTTTGCCATGATGAAGTTATTAAACCAGTGGCCATTCGTTTAGATTTTCCTCATACTTGGAGAAAAGTCCATCTTGTTTTCCATGTTAGTCTGCTCAAGAGGGCCTGTACTTCCTACTGGTGGTATAAACCTAACTCTGACCCTGTTCCGATAATGGTGGGAGCTCACATTCATTTTAAGATTAAGTCCATTTTGGATTCTAAGAGATCTCGGGGACGCTTATTTTATCTAGTTCAGTAGGCTTCTTGATCCCTACACCCTGAGTGGGTGGCCGCTGAACATGTTAAAGCTGTTGTTAACGTTGTTAAAGCTGTTCCACAAAGACTTTCCCCATAAGCTTGGACCTTGACATGCTCCTCGTCCCCTGCCTCCTTTTTCTTCTTCTTTTCTTTTCCAGGGCCACTTTGTTGGAGGGGAGTTATGTCAGGATTTCCATACCAGGTTGGAAATAGTTGTTCCGTCCACCCTTTGGCATGGATGTTTAGTGAAGGAGGCTAGGAGAATGTAGGAGAATGTACATCTTAGATAAGTCCATCTGGACTGGGGGGGAAACGAAACTGTAGAATAGCAATTGTGAGAATGGAATATAGCCAGGAGAGGGGGATGGGATAGTTGAATGATATACACAGGGGTTGGCGGGGAAACTTTCAGAACTGTCTTCCTATTGCCTATGGTAAGATGGAAATAAAGCTGTATCCAAGGATTTGCCTTTGTGAGCTTGCTTTTATTCCAAGAGCTTCCAGGTTCTGACAGAAAGGGCAGAAAAAGGGATGAAACTACCTGGGAAACAGTAGGTATATATGATAGTATAAAGAGAGAGAAAAGGAAGAAAAGAGATGTATGGAGGCTTTTGCGTTAGGGGTTCAGGAAGCCTGGAAGGACACATGTAGGCCCTGGACCAAACTTTCATAAAACATGTTAATTTTATAGCTTGAACCATAGAATCTCAAGCAACTATCTACATTAATTTAAAAAATACATTATAAGGTTGGCTTCTGCTTTACTCAGCCCTTTGGCCAGCAAAGGACTGATCAAACAGGAGGCTATTTAGTAATAGCCGACTCCTTTCTATGCTCATGCCAAAGCAGCTCGGACCACCCAATGTGCTGTTCAAGGGAATGAGAGTGCAATTTTACTTAAACTATTGAACTGAATTGCTGTTGAGATCTAATTTGGCTCAACTGTATTTGTTTGCTACTGCAATCAGCACTTGGATCTTGCAGGATTTAAAATAAATATGAGGAGGAATGCCCATTTTCAGTTACCTCACTGCTGTTGGGTAGAGTTCTGAGGTGTAAATATATATGATATTGAAGGCTGCACTCACGGTCAATTTCCCATATAAAGCTAAAATGCTGGGATTGAAGAAAAATCCTAAAACAGAACACAGAAGAGACTGTTTGCAAATATGGAACGTGCAAACCTACTAAGCGATCATATGCAATCAAGACTAATTAGTTCATCAGGTCTTCATATTTTCTAATAGTTAAGAAATGGTACCCAGTTTGTATTGTTGAAGGCCTTCACAGCCAAAATCACTTTGGGTGTTTTGTGGTTTTGTGGCAAAGATGCCAGCCACAGATGCATCAGGAGAAAATGCTGCTAGAACACGGTCATACAGCCCAGAAAGATTGAAATGATGCAGACTTAAATCCCAGAGCAAAAAAGTCAATCTTAAGAAATAGGGCCACAAAGTGGAGTCCGCAACATGCAAGTGTGGAGAAGAGTAAATCACAAACCACCTATTACAATGCAGTCTGAGCCCTGCCACATGCACAATGGAGGACCTTCTTACAGCAACACTAGAGATACTCCAAGTGCCCAGCTACTGGTCAAAGGATATTTAGTATAATACCAAGTTTTTAAAACTTTGTTTGTGTTTTTAAATACATTACAACTGTACACTTCTGACATGATAAATAAATAAATAAATTTATGACAGAGTTGGAGAGGACAAAATAGTGAAGCTGGAGTCAAAGGTTTGATGTCAAAGGTTTGATGTCAAAAGCTGTGCTTCAAAGCAACATTTATGGTTAATCATTTCTCCACAGGAGCCATTTGAAAAGCTACTCAAACAATGAATAGAAACACCTATGAAAAGTACATCAACCTCCCAGTGTTTTTATGAACAAATGAAAACACGTTTCAAGGCCTTCCAGTGACAAGAAACTTTTTAAGAACCCAGGTATATTCATAGGTTAGTATGATCTAGTGCCATTCAGATGGTTGACACAGAGTTCTACACAAAAAATGCTCTATTTGAGGGGCACTACATTAAAAGTTTGACTCACCCTTCAACCCCTATTATGAAAAGATTGTTCATGAAGGAGAAATAGTGACTTGGTACATGTACAGCAAAGCCACTGATATGTAAGAACTAGTATTGCAAGTAAATTTGCCTTTTAGTTTAAATGTGAACTTGAAATTCATCTTAGAAACTGTTCAAATACGAAGTTCTTGTGGGCTTTTTGGGGCTATATGGCCATGTTCTAGAGGCATTTCTCCTGACGTTTCGCCTGCATCTATGGCAAGCATCCTCAGAGGTGAGGACCTCACCTCTGAGGATGCTTGCCATAGATGCAGGCGAAACAGGAGAAATGCCTCTAGAACATGGCCATATAGCCCCAAAAAACCCACAAGAACTTAGTGATTCCAACCATGAAAACCTTCGACAATACACTGTTCAAATACTGTTCTTGTTTGGCATAACTGCATTTGCTATTTTATTTTCTGAAAAGATCAGTTCCGTGACTACTGGCAAAAATGATATTTGCTTAAAACAGAACATTATACTCACCCTCAGCATTTTCTGGTAAACACATTGTAAATATACAGGCAAAGCCAGCAAATATCAAAAAAGCGACTGTACTTTTACGTCTTCCTGACCTGGAGAGGAAAGCAGTACAAGTTTGGAGTAAAAGCTATACAAGGATGTTGTTATTAGAAATAGATTTTTGCTAAGTTGTTATTAGAAATAGATTTTTGCTAAGGGCCAATAGTGCAATAACAATAGGCAGAAAGAAATACTATACATTGTGTGTACATGTCTCACTCCTCTTCTTCTCTCATTATGCATGCAGATGAATAGTAAAATAAAATTCCCCTCCCCTGAATTACATTAAAATGATGACACCAAATCTGTACACATTAAGTACTGGGAGTATGCAGAATTCCATTTGGCAATTTGGGAAAATGGAATGGGCAGGACAAAGCCGGAGCCTTAACCAGGATGGATCACAAGCAGCTGGATCTTTTGGCTAATGAGGGCAAGGGGCTGAGTGGCACTCTACCTGAGGCAGAGGCCATGGCATGTGGGCAGCCTTGCAAATCAGACAAGTGGGCGCCTGTTGGCGGCAGCTCCTCCTCTTCTATCTTCCCTGGCAGCCTCCTCCATTCCTCCCCAAAACCCTCCTCCTGGTGGAGCACTCACTTGAGGCAAATAAGGCCAGAAAGAGAAAGGAAGAAAAAGGAGAAAAATGTTTCCCTAGGCCTCTCCTTCAGAGAGACCCCTGCCAGGAACTTGCTTACCCAGCAATACTTTCATGGCGTGGGCATTGAAATAGCCTCTGCGCTTACCTCCTGGGGCATAGTGGGAGTTGAGATTTTTCTCACTCTGTGTTTCTTTCCCAGCCAAGAAACATGGTTGACTGTGTCCACTCTCCTCCCCAGTTGTAGCGCATTGGGGTTTCAATTCCCAGAAACCGCCCCCTTGTTTTTTGATTTTAAAAAATTATTGCAATTTTAAAAAAAATCTCAAATATCAGTAGATTGGTGAAACATTTTGAAACTTGGCAGGTTTACAAGTGTGGCAAGTTTCATCCTGATAGACCTAAAATGGCAGAGAAATGAGCCTCTACATTTTCCCAATTGGCACCAATGGACCGAATCTTACTGGAATGTTTTGTCACCCCTCTCCCAATTTCAAAATTTTTCTGGAAAACAGAATGGGGGCAGGCAAAAAGAGAACCAAAAATAGTATGGTTTTGGAGCAATGTAGGACTGGCTGCAGAATCCTGTTCCAGGCAGGGAGTTCTTCAGTTTGCCAAATAGTGGTAGTTTGATGGTGCTGGGTCAGGGCTATCGAGTGGATGTGTAAACTGTTCCCCCTCAAGTGTGTCCGAATTAATGTTTGCTCCTTTAGGCATGGTGTCCTTATGAATCCCAGAAGACAGCTGCCATAATTTTCCTACTTTTTTCTAGTACTCTAAACACTAGGACAAATTGAGCCATGGATTCAAATTTCAGGAAAAGAGATTGCACCTAAACATTAGGAAGAACTTCCTGATGGTAAGAGCTGTTCAGCAGTGGAAAATAAACCCTTAGGGTCCAGTGGAGTTTCCTTCTCTAGAGGTCTTGAAAAAGAGGCTGGATGGCCATCTGTCAAGAGAACTTGGATTGTGTCTTCCTATATGACAGAGTAGTATTGGATTGGATGGCTCTTGAGCTCTCTTCCAACTCTAGGATTCTATGAGGTTAACAATGGATAAAGATAAAAACCCCTGGTCTGTTCTTAGCCTTCCTACTTTTTCCCAGCCTCAAAATAAAAGACAAGTATCCAACAAAGTCACTAATACACATTAACCTTTCCTTGTTACTACATAGCTGTTCACCGTTGGCCTGTATGGCAGTAATAATCCCTTTGGCCTGGATGGTAACAAGGACAGCTGCCTGAAGGAGAAATTCTAATACAATGCACACATTTAAATGTAACTCACTGAAGTTTCTGAAGAGTTTCTACATATGCATCCGAATTAATGTTTGTCCCTTTAGTCATGATGTGCTCCTGAATTCCAGAAGACAGATGCCATAATTTTTCCTGCTGGGGATACAGCTTTGCATTTCTTTTTCATGGGAGAATTCAGGTGATGCCACTCCATTGTCTCTTTGTCTCTGCTTCAAAAAGGTGTGCCCATAGTTTCATCTTCCATCATGACTCTTGAAATAAACTTTGGTTGCTTACCTGTAACCGGGTTTCCTCTAGTATCAAATCCACACAAATCCGCCTGCGCAGACAGTTTCGGAACCTTCTGGAATTTAAAAGATACTTTTTGGCAGTAGCCCACCAGTTCCTCGGCTGCCAAAAAGCAGCCCAGGATACCGTAGCATGAAGTCCAATGGGGAGGATGGGCGGGTTGTGTGGATTTCACAGGTACCACTAGAGGAAACCCGTTTACAGGTAAGCAACCAAAGTTTCCCCTGCGTGGTCCTGTGAAATGCACACATATGGGTGACTAGCAAGCTACCAACCTTGGAGGTGGGCGTCATGCCACACATGAAAAAAGCACTGCTCTTCCGAAGGCAGCGTCTCGTCTGGATAGGACATCCACCTTGTAGTGACTGACAAAGGAGGACAGATTTGCCCAGGTGGCTGCACGGCAGATGTGTTCCAGAGGCACCCCTTTGAGGAACGCCTGTGACATGGCAAGGGATCTCGTGGAGTGCACCTTCAAGATGTGTGGAGGGTTACATCCCAACCGGTGGTACGCCAGCCGGATGGTGGCCACAATTCATGAAGACAGCCTCTGGGGAGTAACCGGTGTACCAAGAACATCATTTCTATATTTGAGGAACAGTCGTGGGGACTTCCTATGGTGTCAGGTCCGATCAACATAGAAGGACAGTACCCCTCTGACATCCAAGATGTGCAAGGTCCTTTCGAGTGGAGTTGATGGGTTCTGGAAGAACACCAGTAAGACAATGTCTTGGGAAAGGTGGAACCGCGAGACCACCTTCGGCAAGAAAGAGATATCCGGGCGAAGGACAGCTTTATCAGCATGGAAGCGTAGGTAGGGTGCATCTACTCTGAGAGCACAGATCTCACTTGCTCTCCTTGCCGACGTTATAGCAATAAGGAAGGCCACTTTCCATGACAGATGTTGAAAGTTGGCTGACGCCATGAGCTCGAATGGAGGTTTGGTAACCTGAGACAAAACCAACTCCAGGCTCAATGCAGGCACTTGGGGGTGCGTTGGGGGAAACAAGTTGTTATGCCCTTTCAAAAACAGTTTAACAAGTGGTTGCTCAAAGCAGGAAGGCAGGCCTGACTTGCGTCGGTACCATGAAATGGCTGCGAGGTAGCATTTTATGGACGAGATGGAAAGACCTTTATTCGAGAGATGCATAAGGAAGTCCAGAATTACTGGGACAGGGGCTGAGTATGGTACCTGTCCCTTCTGTCTCACGAAGGAAGAGAAGCGTTGCCACTTGTATGTGTAAGACTTCCTAGTAGACACCTTATGTGCAGCCTCCAGCACTGATTTTACAGAGTGGGAGAGCCTTGAATAGGTCGGATCCTCCAGGCTGTCAGGCACAGAGTGCGGGTATCCAGATGACGAACTTGCCCGTTGTGAGTCGTGAGGATGTCCGGTGTGATTGGTAGTCGCTGGTACTCGTGCGAGGCTTGGATTAGGTGGCCGAACCATGGCTATCGAGGCCACCACGGTGTCAGGAGGATGCAATCCGTCTTGTCTGCCTGCAGCTTTGATAGTACCCTTGGGATTAGAGGTAGAGGTTGGAAGGCGTACATTAGGGCCTGCGTCCAGGAGTATAGAAACACGTCGCCCAGGCAGCCCGGTGGATGGCCCTTTGGGCACCATGTACAAAATTAGGCGCACTGCGCATTCTCTGGTGTTGCAAACAAGTCCATGGCAGGTGTCCCCCATAGGTTGAATATGGGTTGTAGAGATCGAGGATTTACTCGCCACTTGTGGCAGGAGTTCGGCGATCTGCTCAGTGTGTCCGCCAAGGTGTTCTCCTCGCCTGGCATGTGAAGAGCAAGGAGGTGGATGTTCCGCAGGACACACCAGTTCCAGATGTGCAGAGTGAGGTGGATCAGCTTGCGAAATCATGTCCCGCCCTGCTTGTTGATGTAAAACTTGCTTGTGGTGTTGTCCATGAGGAGACGGACAACATGGCCAGTTAGAGGGAGTTCGAATGACCTAAGGGCCTTCTGAACCACTAACATCTCCAGGTAATTGATGTGGTGTTGAGATTCCTCTGGAGACCATCTCCCTGCACCGTCAAGTCGTCGAGATGGGCTCCCCAGCCGGACAAGAATGCGTCTGTAGTGAGGGCCTTTGTAGGGTGCTGCTGATGAAACGGCATCTCTTTCTGGACATTGTGTCTGCGCATCCACCAGGAGAGCGAGGCTAGGACGTGCGGAGGGACCGTCAGGGGCTTCTCCGGTGGGTCCCTCAGTATGTCGAACACTTGGAGGAACCACATCTGTAGTTGGCGCATCCAAAGCCTCGCGAAGGGGGTCACGGCCATGGTGGAAGCTAAGTTTCCCAGGAGCGATTGAATTTGCCTTGCGCGAATGCGAGGACGTGTGCGGATGACCTGAATGAGGGACCTCAAAGCCCTGAAGCGGTCTTCTGGGAAAAATGCCTTTTCTTGTACAGAGTCGATGACAGCGCCAATAAACTCGATGGACTAGGTGGGCTCCAGGTAGGATTTTCCCCAATTCACCACCAGTCCAAGGTCCTGGAGAAGAGACAAGGTAACGTCAATGTCAGTCAGGAGTCTTCATCGGGAAATAGACACAATTGGCCAACCATCAATTTAAGGATACATAACAACGCCAACCTGGCGGAGGTATGCGGCAACAACTGCTATGCATTTAGTAAAAACTCTCGGGGCAGTGCACAAGCCAAACAGGAGTGAATTGAAACAATAACAGTGGTGTCCAACCTGAAACCTAAGGAATCTGCGATGGGATCGCCTTATTCCGATGTGGAAATATGCATCTCTGAGGTCCACCGTAGCAAACCAGGCTCCTCTGGTCAGTAGGGCCAAGATCATCGTCAGTGTAACCATCCGTAATTTGCGGGGTTTGATGTAGCGGTTTAGGCCCCGTAGGTCTAGGATAGAAGATCAGGAAGTATCTAGAGATGAAGCATTGAGGGATTTCTCTAGGCTTCAGATGGCATATGGTCCCTTTCTGGAGAAGGGTCTGGATCTCCTCGACAAGGGGGGTGGAAGCGGGGGTTACCTTACGGTGTCCCACCGCAGGTAAAGAGGTAAACTCAATTGCATATCCCCTTTCCACAGTGTCCAGGACCCACTCATCCGTGGTTATCTGTTGCCAGGCCTCAATGTATGGCTGGAGATGGTCCGTGAAGGTAAGTTGTGGCAGAGGTACATCGCAGGCTGAGGTGGCGGTGTAATCAATTTGGGCAGGCTGGACGGTAATAGAACTTAGATGGGGAGGACCACTGCTGCGTCATGGTAGGATGCTGAACCCGGCACCTCAGGGCATACAGCTGTCTGCGCCTACCTTGTTGGCGACTCCTGGTTGGAGGTGGAGGTGGTCTTCTAGCAGAGGGCACTTGGGTGGTTGGCCTCGTTCGTGATCCTGCCAAGGTTGGGCTAGGATGCCTCTGATAGTATGGAATGAAATTCAGCCAACGTTGTCTGGGTTGATTAGCAAACAGTAAGGGAAGGCTGAACCTGTGGGCGCATCTTGTGCGTGCGCTCCAAATTGGTATCGGTATCAGGGTTAAACAGCCCTGCCTCGTGCATTGGGAGGTCTTCTATGGTCGCCCGTGCAGATTGGGATAGGCCTGAAGAGCGCAGCCTTGCGTGGCGACGCAGGGCTATTGCAGCTGCAAAAAGTTTGCCCGAAGTATCTGCAGTGTGTTTTGCCAGATCCTTCTGCAGGCCTGCCAGTTGCATGGCCTCTTGCTTGTATGTTCTAGCCAGTCTGAGCTCCGCAGGTGGGAGATGGTCGAGCAGAGGAGCAATTTTATCCTAGATGAAGCAATGATAGGCTCCCATATAGGCCCCATAGTGTGCCATCCTTGCAAAAAGTCCTGCACCAGTGTATATCTTTCGCCCCATGCCATCCAGTTTCTTGCCCTCTTTGTCCGCTGGAGTGTTGTGAGAATATTGCGCTGGGTGTGGTTGGGAGACATCCACGATCATGGAATTCGGCTTAGGGTGTTTGCCTAGCGACTCCGCTGAGGCCATATCCAGCCGGTAGAGATTTTTGGCCTTCCTACTAGTGGGTGGGACCGAAGGAGCCATTCCTGGTGCCTTAATCAGCTGAAGTAGGTAAGGCAACAGGGAAAGTGGGGCAGGGGCTGGTGACTGCTGCTGGTCGTGAGAGAAGACGGGGTCATCCACAGGCGTAACTACTTCCAGAGTTTGTCGTTTCAGTGCCTTTGCCAAACGGTTAATGAAGGAGGAGAAGGTACTCGGCTCCTCAGGAGAGGCAGGATCATCCTCAACTGTCCCCTCGGGGGGGGGGGAATCAGCAACATTGGCGTCTGATTACGAGCCTGCCTCGGTACCGAGGGTAGCGGTTTCGACCACATGGGGCAGCACTGGGTCCTGTTGCAGTGGTGTAGCTGTCTGTGGGGGAAGCTCTGTCCCTTGGGCAGCCATGAGAGGGGGCTGTTGCGGTTGGGCGCATCTGGGGCGCTGACGAGGAAGCCTGCGGCTGTTCCTGAGGCCCTGGAGGAGGGACGCCTCGGTATGGGGACTGAGAGGCCCAAGTGGGCTGGTGATGGTAGTAGTAAGGGCTGTAATAGCCTCTAGGAGAGCGGCCTTCTGCATGAAAATAATGAGGGGGCGAGTCCATTGAATAGAAGGCCTCGCGTGCACGCGCATAACTTCCTGAGCAGCTGTAGCTCCTAGAACGGCTTCGAGAGGCAGAGCTCCATAAGCACGAGGAAGAAAAGCGGTGCCTCATGCTGCGTTAGGTATAGCGCCGTCCATGCCAATGGTGGTGGCGTGGCCTTCGGGAGCATCCCCGAGACGGGGGCTTGGAGCTCCTGGGTCCGTGCCGCTGTTCAGCATTCAACGCCGCCGGCAACTCTGGGAGGGCGGGGTCCAAGGCTCCACTGGTAGAAGGAGTTTCTCCTCTAGCCATGGACGCTTCTCTCTCTAGGGAAGGAGTAGGCGGAGTTGGCTGGTGTGTGCCCTTGGCGGTTTGAGAGATGGAGGAGGTCATAGGAGTGTTCTCTGGGGGTGGTGAGATTGCTCCTAATGGCTCCGGCTGAGTCAGAGAGAGAGACTGTTCTTCAGAGTCTCGGCCCTGGGAAGCATTATTAGAGGAGGCACTGGGGAGCGGGAGGCACCCCATTCAGCCGCCATGAGTGAGCCTTGGTGTTTTTCCTTTCGCCCTTTCTTAGAGCACTGAGCGGCCTTGGCGGAGGAGGGAACAGCCGATTTGGATTTCTTTGGCTTGGTGGATTTGGGCACCAAAGCTGTGCCGTGCGCTCCTGCCTCCAGCACTACAGGTAGGTCAGATCCCAGAGGGCTGGAGGCAGTAGAAGCGGAGGGGGGCTTGGAAGACGCCCTCTTTGCAATCTTGGGTGGTGGAGGCAGGAGGGCCTGTTCATAAAGGAGGGTTTTCAGGCGGATTTGCCTATGCTTGCGGGCCTGGGGGGTGAAAGATTGGCAAATGGAGCACACGTGTGTCGCATGGCCCTCCCCTAGACACAGCAAGCAAACAGGAAGAGTATCCGTGTCAGGGTATTTTCCCCCTCATTGGGAGCACTTTTTAAAGACGGCCACCATTTTAATTGGGGAGAAAGGGGAGATACAGGCCTGACAGTAGTCAGAACGATCCGAGGTCGGTAGCGGGAGCAAACAGAGTCCAAATCGGTAGGCAAGAGTAGTCAATGTCCAGTCAAAAATAGTCAGAGTCCAGTTAACTCACAGAATGTAGAAAAAGAAGAGCACTGATAGAGAGAGAGGTTCCCTAACTGCTGCTTTTCACGGCGGAAAGAAAGAACTGGCTGGCAGCCCCACCTACCGGCTATTTATACTATAATGGGCGGTGCTATCTTTTAAATTCCAGAAGGTTCTGAAATTGTCTGCGCAGGCACAGAAAACCCATATGTGTGCATTTCACAGGACCACGCAGAGGAAATTTGCTTCCATTGTTCTCATACTGGACCAAGAGTTCGCTGCATATGGATTTTGGGGTTACCTTGTGTGCATCTGTCATCTTCCTTGGGATCCCATTTTGCACAGACCTACTTTAACTGCAACTGTTTCAGTGTTCTATACACACACACACTTCCACAATGCCCAGTTGGAGTGATTTTTTGACAGTTATGTGTCTATCAGCCATGTAGTTCACACACTCCACACTGTCAGTTCTTTTGTGCAATGTGTGGTCTGCCAGTTTGTGGAGCATCCTAAATATTGGCATGCCCTTTTTCACCAGATAACTTGTGCACCCAGTGACTAACAATACTGTGATTGACAGTGTCATCTCCATATACACCTTAAGTCTCCTGTGGATGTTTCCCACTGACTCATTCTCACAAATTAGGAACTCAGTTACAGCAATTACAGCATGAAACTCATGGAACTCAATTACAGCAATTACATCATGTTGCTTCTGACAGATACCAAGAGCAGCAGCCATTATGGAGGAGAATAAAATGGGAATAGAAGCAAATAGCAAAGATGTAGAATAATTTTTTTTAAAATGTTGTGCATTATAGAATCATAGAATCATAGAATCAAAGAGTTGGGAGAGACCTCATGGGCCATCCAGTCCAACCCCCTGCCAAGAAGCAGGAATATTGCATTCAAATCACCCCTGACAGATGGCCATCCATCCTCTGTTTAAAAGCTTCCAAAGAAGGAGCCTCCACCACACTCCGGGGCAGAGAGTTCCACTGCTGAACGGCTCTCACAGTCAGGAAGTTCTTCCTAATGTTCAGATGGAATCTCCTCTCTTGTAGTTTGAAGCCATTGTTCCGCGTCCTAGTATCCAAGGAAGCAGAAAACAAGCTTGCTCCCTCCTCCCTGTGGCTTCCTCTCACATATTTATACATGGCTATCATATCTCCTCTCAGCCTTACTTTTGGAGAGACCCTCATATATAGATATAAGATAGATATATATAGAGAGAGAGAGAGAGAGAAAGAAAGAGAGCGAGAGAGATGTTATTAAACTTACCAAGGCTTCTCAATGAAAAACATACAGAGGGGAAATGCTGGAACTTCTACAAGGCCAGAAAGTGCCACATTCAGATAAAGATTTCCTCCTAATTCACCAGCATTCAGGGTTAAGCCATAATATACAAAACTACACACATACCTAAATATGAAAAAGATATTGGTTATGCATCACAAGCCAGGAATTTATGCTGTGTTAACTTTTATTTGTGTGAAGATCCTGAAAACTTCCAAGCCTTTTTCTGCAATAGGATTCCCAGCTTTGCATATATATTTCCAAGTGAGGGGAGAAAATATTTTGAGTGGAGAAATTCTATTGAATTCCTGCATTGGCATGAAACTTACCTTCTAGAAGGAAAGAAAGGAAATCTTACCTTCTAGAAGGTAAAACTTCCTTTTACCTTTTAGAAGGAAAGAAATGATCATCTAACACCCCAAGAGTACAGCAGCTCAACCTTCTTTCTCTCTCCTTCCCAGAACAAAATGGTGTGTGTGTTTTGGCAATACAGTGAAAATTGCTCATAAGGAAAACAGACATCCTATCTTCTCCATAGCTGAAGAATTTTCTTGGCTAACTGTGACAGAACCAAACATAGGAGAGTTGCCACTGTATATTAAATACTGTATAATAGATTTTCTTGGTTATAGCCTCCTTTGTCCTCTTAGAATCATAGAATTATTGAGTTGGAGGAGACCTCGTGGGCCATCCAGTCCAACCCCCTGCCAAGAAGCAGGAAAATCACATTCAAAAGTACCTCCGACAGATGGCCATCCTGCCTCTGTTTAAAAGCCTTCAAACAAGGAGCCTCCCCCACACTCCGGGGCAGAGAGTTCCACTGCTGAACAGCTCTGCCATTTAGGAAATTCTTCCTAATGTTCAGGTGGAATCTCCTTTCCTGTAGTTTGAAGTCCTACATCCTAGGCTTCAGGGAAGCAGAAAACAAGCTTGCTCCCTCCTCCCTATGATTTCCCTCACATATTTCCTCTCAGCCTTCTCTTCTCTTTAAAGGTGAAATGTAAAAAAGACAACTTCAGTTCACTATCCCTTAGTTTGGAGGAATGGAAGAAAAAAAAAACAAAAAACAATGATCCCTCAAGGCTCAGAGCAACTGAACTCCTTCAAACATTTATTGCTCTTTGGAATGCCAGGTAACAATTAAGCTGCTATAATAATAATTAGCATAATATTTTTTTCTTTCTAGCAGCCTAGAATTACCAGTCAGGGTTTGCTATTTTTGTGCGTGACTAATTCATGTAGCTCTATTTATTTCTATTTATTATTACCAGATATACATCAAGATGACAGTGCGCCACCGAAGGACGGGATGTTTAACTAGGTTTAGGACACCAGGTGCTGAATCATCACTTTCCACCATTGCTTTGCACTGTTTCAACTTCACTGCCAACCCCTCTTTCCCATTACCAAGGGCTATGTGTTGTAGTATGCTCTCAGCCTCAGTTGTTCTGCCTTGACAGTATAACCATCTTGGTGATTCAGGAAGCATACTGAAAAAAAGGAACATTCAAACACACAATACAGACAAGTGCAGCGTTTATGCCTTAAAAAAAAATATCTGTGTATTGGCCAGATTATCTGTTTGTTAGTTGTACGCAGTATATTTCAAAACTTGACCAAAGCTGTCTGACAGGAAAGCAGCTAAAAATAAAGTAAAATGTCTAAAGATTACCACAATTTTAAAATGTGAGAACATATCATAAATAATTGTGAGACAATAGTCTGACATACTAAAAACATCTTACATCAGCATTCCTTAACCCAGCGCTCTCCAGAGATACGATTATTCTGCAGCTGGTCCAAATACTGATCCAGGTCCAAAATGTCTGGAGAGAGCCAAATTAGGAAAGCTATCTTGACCACGGCCCCCTAGAACAGAAAGGACTAAGAATGACGGAAGACAAGATAACTTGCTTATAATCAGCACTTAGGATCATAGTCAATACTGTTTTAAAAACCCTACTTTCATGAACTAGGAAAGCAGAAATTCATAAAGCCATGTTATGTATAGGAAAGCTTCCAAATCTCCCTCCCACACAAGGCAAAATTAGTCTGGATCATATCCAAACCCATGTTCCTTTGCATTTCACTGGACTGTATTACTATTTGGTGTGTATAAAAAGCGAACTAGAGAAATATCACACTTTCCAAATGACAAATGAGATAGCAGCAATACAGTTACTTGATGTGAAATATCAACTAAACAAGTTGTTTTATTCAATATGACAAGAAAAAGACAAATCTACTGAAACTGACACAAATTATCATTGCCTGTTATTTTACAGCCATAACCAATTTAACTACTATTACAGTAGTATTACTTCATGTATTGTAATGCTTAGATACATACAGTAGAGAAGTGCAAGAGGAAAAGCATCTATTTGGTTCCATTTATTTCTAATTAACTTCCTCTAAAGAATTTCGTAAAACTCATTTAGGACCCAAAATCTTGTCCTCACACTTTACTATTGTTTGTACCCAAAATTATAATGATCTATTTTGCATTGCTCTTATATTTACTGCTGCTAAATGACCTATGCACTTTACTCACTAGCCCTATCCTTTAAATTGTTGTTGCACTAGTTTGTCCACCCATGACGAATCACTGAATTTTGCTATTAGTTGTTGGTTTTGATGCCTCTTTTATACATTGTTATAATGTTGTTGTTCTTATTTTGTTTTATACTGTTATTATGCATTTTAATGTGTTACGTTTTCAATGTATTGATTGGTCTTGGCTCCATGTAAGCTGCCCCGAGTCCCTTCAGGGAGATGGAGGCGGGGTATAAGAATAAAGTTATTATCATCATTATCTGTCACTATTCCAATTGCTACTTTTTCACAAAGCCATGCATTTCATAGATGGATTCTAGTTATTTGAACAACTCTTAGTTTCCTTCTTGGACTGCAGACAACTGTGGACTTAGGTTAGGCTCCCAAGAGAACTTTACAATATTCTTGGAAATAAATTTTCCCATTCTCCCTTCCTTCCACCAGTCCCACCCTGCATCCTACACCATGGTGTTTTAAGAGGGTCGGAGAATTTTTTCAGAGACTGCAGGCAGCAGGGAACAAGAAGTGTACGAATTTTTTTCCTCCCTCTGCTTCTGGGCATCACAGTTCAAGAAAAGTATTGAAAAGCTAGAATGTGTCCAGAGAAAGGCGACCAATATGATCATAAGCCATGCCTTATGAGAAGCAGCTTAGGGAGCTGGTTATGTTTTAACTTAAGGAAGAGATGGTTGAGAGGGGACATGATAGCCATGTTTAAATTATGTCAAAGGATGTCATATTGGAGATTGAGCAGGCTTATTTTTGCTGCTCTGGAGACCAGGACATGGAACAATGGATGCAAACTGCAGGAAAAGAAGTTTCCTGACAGTAAAATCTGATGGAGAGTAGAATGCACTGTCCACTCAAAAGGGGGTAGAGTCTTCTCTTTGGAATTTTTTTTCAAAGACATCTGCCAGGTAAGATTTGATTTTGAGTTCCTGCATGGAGGGAGTTGGAATTGATGGCCTTTGTGGTCTCTTCCATCAGATGGACTGCTGGAATCGCCAAGCATTGTCCAACTCACCCATCGTTGGCCGTTCAGCTTCTCCCTTGAAGCTGTTGTTCTCAATTGAAGACGGGAAGGCTCTCATGTTATCGCGGCAGCAGCATGCACCAATTTGCCTTCCCTTTTTCCATGGAGCCCTGCCAGGAGCTGTGCATCATGGAATGAGAGCCCACAAGCTCCACAGCAAAAAGGAAGGTGAACTGGCGCATGTCGCCAAATTTCCCCCCATCTGATGAGGAAGACAATCTTTAAATCAGTGCCAACTTGATTAGTTTTATTTAATACGAACATGAACACCATATACCAGAGTCCAAAGCTGCTTTGCATCTGTTCATCAAAGAGTGCAATGCCAAAAGCCTTGCTATAGTCTCCCCACAAAAAATATCCTTGCCACACTTTTGTTCAGTTTTACCTTGGGGAAAAAAAAGAATTTCAAAATTCTACCTCTATTATTATCTAAAGTTCTACCTCTATTAAAGGATAGCCAGAATGATATTGTGGCTTAAATGTTGAACTGGGATTATGGAAAACCAGGTCTTCAATGGAAACCCACAGGATGACCTTGGGCAAGTCACAACCTTTCAACAGCAGAGGAATACAATTGTCAGCCTGAATAAATCTTGACAAGAAAACCCTTTGAAACGGTTAAAGAAAGTCAAAGTTATGACATACATCTTCAAGCAATTGTACTATATTTCCACTTAAGAAATTTTACATTCACATGAGAATATATTCAAATGGTCAAGTATTTGAGGAGGAAATAATGAAGAATTTGCTAAAAACTGAGGTTGACATTTGCATGTTTGAAAAGGAAGACAAATGTAGACTTTAAAGTAGCCGTAAGGGTAATGTATTAAAACAAATATAAGAATTGGTTTTAAGATTCACATTTAGAAGTGTTGGAAGTCATAGGTGGAGTGTTTGGAGGGGTGGGGGGGGGAGGGTATGGGTGTGATAAGATGTAATTGTACAGTTTCTGTTAGTTACTGTAATGTGTATACTTGATTTTTGATTTTTGTTCATTATTCACACATAACAAAACATTTAAGATACATTAAAATTAAAATAAATTTTACATTTATCCAAGATATATTTCAGCATTACTTACAATGAGAGAAGAAAAAAGAAAAGTCCTGGGGAATTTGATACGAAGGCAAGTAAACGCCATTCCCTTATATAAAAACCCAATAAGGCATAAATTGCTATGCCCACTGCAAATGTCAGGTTTGTTAATGAGCCTAAAAAGCAAAAGAAACAGTTACCTATGTTTGTTAAATGCTGGCATAGTATTTCAGCAGCATACATAAACATACATACGTGTAAAACCTCTTGCTTATGAGGAGTCCTTCAATTGGATTCTTCATGTATGTTTTATTTTATAAGTTTCCAGAAGTTGAAAAACAAGAAATGTTTATTTGAACTGTGCCAAGGTCAAGATATTCAGCATAATTTACAACAAAAGACATTTCACCAATTGTATTTAAATCACATACTGGCTCATTCTCAGCCTCTATCTGCTTAAATCTTATGACAACTAACACAGCACTTTAAACTGGTTTCAAACAATAGATTTCTACTGTGATTTAAAATTTTCGCAGTTAAAGTCAGAGAATTAGAGGACAAACAAAAGCATATAAAAGGGGAAAAGATGATGCAAGGATACATGATACTGGTCACTCCTATGCATGCTCTAAAGAAGTGTTTGCAACTGTGGTCAATCAGATGCCTATGGTCTGCAGCCATTGCTAGCCTTTAGCTATCTGACTAAGTCTGATGGGAGTTATTCGCCAAAAAGAATCTTGAGGGTCACAGGTAACCACAGCTATTATAAATTGTAATCCAGTTTAGGAATGGAAACTATGGTACAAAATCATGTTTCAGTGGTTTTTACTGCTTTAATCTTAAAATAAGGAAAATGGCAATCCTACAAATTACAAAGAAAATTATCCCAAAACAAGGGTGGGAGTTGTGCCGGCCACAGACTTGCCCCTTCATATGCTAAAAACCCTCAAAGCTCTCCAGAAAATACAATTTTTTAAAGCAAGCTACCATGTTTTGGAGTTAAAAATCACCCAAGTTACCAAATTTTAGTTAAATGGCATTTAATTAAATAGAATTTCAGGCCTTCACCTATAACACTGGTATGGGGGTCATCTTGAAAATTGCATCCCATCACTCCTAGGCCCCTTAAACACTGCCAAAAATTCAGATTATCTGATTTGAACTGGATTATATGGTAATGCAGACTCATATAATCCAGTTCAAAGTAGATAATGTGGATTATCTACTTTGATAATCTGGATTATATGGCAGTGTTGAAGGGCCCTAGTGATTGGGAGTGATGCAATGTGACTTTCAGTTGTCACAAATCACAATCACAACAGGTTTGTGGTCCTTCAGATTCCAGGCTCTGCCCTGCAGTTTCAAGCTTACACATGCTTACTTGGGAAGATGACCCATAATCTGTTTTTTATGGCAGTGTAGAAGTGGCCCCAGTCTATGAATTAATTCCATTGAAGAGCACAATACAACAACAGAGTTCTTTCTAAAGTGTTTTATCCATGTAGGCACCTCCTTTTCATATGCAATTTGCTCATAAGAAGATTCAAACAAACTGTTCATTTCACATGGCTTTCTTCAGCAATATTCACTCAGGAAACAAGAGTTCATACTGTAAGCCATCAGGAAAGGTTATATTTTAAAAATAATTTCAGGTTCCTGCACTTTGAGGTACAAAGGAAGGCCAAAACTAAGACAAGTTCAACCCATATTTTGTACTTTAGGAGAGCTGACTTCCGAAAAATGAAGGAAATACTGAACCGCATTCCGTGGACACAGATACTAAAAGACAAGGGAGTTACGGGTGGATGGGTGTTTTTCAAGAGTGAAATACTCAAGGTTCAATTGAAAACAGTGCCAACAAAGAGAAAAAAGGGGACAAGTGCAAGGAAGCCAGAATGGATATCCAAAGAACTTCTAACTGTGCTAAGACTCAAAAGAGACATGCACAAGAGGTGGAAAAAGGGAGAAATCACCAAAGAATTCAGACAAATAGCTAACTCCTGTAGGGAAAAGGTTTGCAAGGCTAAAGCACAAAACGAGTTCAGGCTTGCCAGGGACATGAAAGGGCTTCTTTTATAACATCAGTTCGAAAAGAAAGAACAAGGAGGCGACATGACAATGGGGCAATGCTGACAGGATAGGTAAAAAGCAGAACTACTTAATGCCTTCTTTGTCTCGGTCTTCTCACAAAAAGGAAGTCACCTTCAACCTCAGCAAGATGGAGTGGAGAGGGATTAGAGGACATCCAACCCCAAATTGGGAAACAAGTCACCCAGGAATACCTGACCACTCTAAACGGGCTCCCAGGGCCAGATCAACAACACCCAAGCGTATTGAAGGAACTAGCTAAAGTCATCTCGGAACCATTGGCAATCATCTTCGAGAGTTCTTGGAGAATGGGAGAAGTCCCAGCAGATTGGAGAAGGGCCAATGTGGTCCCAATCTTCAAGAAGGGGAAAAAAAGGAGGACCCAAACAATTACCGTCCTGTCAGCCTCACATCAATACCAGACAAGATTCTGGAAAAGATTCTTAAGGAAGTGGTCTGCAAACAAATGCAGTCATCGTTAATAGTCAACATGGATTTATCAAAAACAAGTCATGCCAGACTAAACTGATCTCTTTTTTCAATAGAGTTACAAGCTGGGTAGATGCGGGGAATGCCATGGATGTAGCATATCTGGATTTCAGCAAGGCCTTCAACAAGGTCCCACATGACCTTCTAGAAAACAAACTAGGCAAATGTGGGTTAGGCAAAGCTATGGTTAGGTGGATCTGTAATTGGTTAAGCGAACAAACCCAGAGGATGCTCACTCTTCAACCTGGAAAGAAGTGATGAGCGGAGTGCCGCATGGTTGCGTCCTGGGCCCGGTCCTGTTCAACATCTTTATTAATGACTAAGATGAAGGTTTAGAAGGCATGATCATCAAGTTTGCAGACGACACCTAATTGGGAGGGATAGCCAATTCTCCAGGAGACAGGAGCAGAATTCAAAATGATCTTAATAGATTAGAGAAATGGGCCAAAACTAACAAAATGAAGTTCAACAGTGACAAATACTCCACTTTGGCAGGAAAAAACAAAATGCAAAGATACAAAATGGGGGACACCTGGCTCGAGAGCAGTACGTGTGAAAAAGATATTGGAGTCCTTGTGGACAACAAATTAAACATGAGGCAACAATGTGATGCAGCATCAAAAAAGCCAATGGGATTTTGGCCTGCATCAATAAGAGTACAATATCTAGATCAGGGAAGTCATGCTACCCCTCTATTCTGCCTTGGTTGGAGCACATCTGGAATACTGTGTCCAATTCTGGGCACCACAACTGAAGAAAGATATCAACCAGCTGGAATGTGTCCAGAAGAGGGTGACTAAAATGATCAAGGGTCTAGAGAACAAGCCCTATAAGGAGCGGCTTAAAGAGCTGGGCATGTTTAGCCTGAAGAAGATAAGGCTGAGAGGAGACATGATAGCCATGTATAAATATGTGAGAGGAAGTCATAGGGAGGAGGGAGCAAGCTTGTTTTCTACTGCCCTGAAGACTAGGACGCAGAACAATGGCTTCAAATTACAAGAAAGAAGATTCCAGCTGTACATTAGGAAGAACTTTCTGACTGTGAGAGCCGTTCAGCAGTGGAACTCTCTACCCCGGAGTGTGGGGGAGGCTCCTTTTTTGGAGGCTTTTATACAGAGGCTGGATAGCCATCTGTGAGGGGTGCTTTGAATGCAATATTCCTGCTTCTTGGCAGGGGGTTGGACTGGATGGCCCATGAGGTCTCTTCCATCTATATGATTCTATGATTCTAATTTGGGGAGAGGAAAAAGAAGGTGATAATGTAGGTTTCTCTATATACAGTTAAAAAAATACTTCCTGGACACTGAAATCTAGGAAAAAACTATCTAGATGTTGTTCAGGCTCTCCAAACCAGAAAAAATAATAGTTCGTAAACAGAAATAGACTCCTTATGCTCTGTGGGGTTAATCACGATGCTACTTTCAGCATCTATTTTCCCCTTGTCTTCAGTTATCACCTCAAAGCAGCTATCAGTCGAGTTGTCTTGAAGTAACTCATACTTATTTCTGCAAAAAAGGTCAGATACAGAATCCTCCTTTGGAGAAACCTCTCCATTCTTTAGCAATTTGCTTGCTTTGCCATTCTGTTTGTCTGGGAGAGCTCGTTCTCTCTTTCTTTTTCCCATTACAAATTAAAAGAGAGAGAACCAATAAGCCTTGTCAGTGATTAAAAAGTGCAACAAAAATAATAATAGACTATGGATAAAAATATAAAAGAGTAAAATGTCCTTGTCTCTGCTTTTCTTGTTTGTAGAAGGAAAGGACCATCCAGTCCTTTCCTTGCAGGGGAGCCTTTACCTTGCGGGGAGCCTTTATCTTGCAATAGATATCAGCAGAAAAACAACTCAAGAGAAACGCCGAGTCTTCTGATAAAAGAGTTTTTCAGGTTTTCAAATCAGCTTAGATAAATTGTCACTCCTTTTAGTAGAAGTCAGCAAATTATCTTGTTAACATGCCTCGACCTTCAGTCTGTTTAGGATTCTTAGATTTAGTTTTTAGAAGTTCTTAGTAAGAAATCCACGGAATGACGTTGTCAGGGTGTTTCACTCTCTGCCATTTTCCCCACCAACAAACCAGAAAAATAAATGCCTTATGTTTATCCTGAAGGCAAGGGGTGGGTTTGCATTGAAAACCATTATTATAAATTTTGTGAGCCATTATTCTTATAAGGAATATTTTATTAGGAGGGAGTGGGAGCAAAATGGTAGAACTTTTTATTGTGAAGAACATGTAGAAAAGAGTCCTGCAATTTCCTCAGCTGCTTAGTAAGAGACCTAGCAAGGCGTGTTTTAAGAACAAGGTCTGTTTTAAAAAACAAAACAAAACACTGTACAAAAAGTTTTTACAAAAAGCAGTTCTCTGGATGAAAGCACACAAAAATCCTTACAGGTAGAAATCTGGGGGGAAATGGAGTCTGGATTTTGAATACTGACTCATTCTAACCATTAAATCTACTGAAAAAGTCTTAAATTGCTAGAATTTCTTCTATAAACTAACCCAAGTCATATCTTACCTGTCAATGCCCAGAAGGATTTTCCAACATATTCTTGTGTCAAAACGAAAGAGACTAGAGCCATGCCACCATTTGTAATCCCAACAAAAAAGCGTGACATTGCAAAAATTTCATAGTTTGGAGCAAATGCTGAGACATACCCAAAAATGACATCAAAGAAAAGTCCTGCACAAAACACATACAGATTGGAAATATTACCCATTATGTATCTTAATCCTATCCTACACAGAAACACAGCCCATTACTTTAATGGGATTGACTTCAAGCTATTTATCAAGTTCATTTGCAGTGTTCCATGATAAGAAAATATGCCAAATGGGTAAATAACCCTTAGTTATTTAATCCTGGGTGAAATCCTAGTTCTTCCCTCTTTTAATATTTGAAAATATGAACATACAAAAACATGTTCAAATATGGCTAAAATCATTTAGCTAAAATCTTGGTTATGAGCAATCCTGTTATTATATGGCAGTGTACCTTACATGGATAACATATGCAAGATAAATATGGAGAAATGTTAACAATGCCCCTAAACCAGTGCCTGTCATCAGTGATGGACTAGATGACAACTAATAAGTTGAAATTAAATCCAGACAAGACAGAGGTACTCTTGTTCAGTTGGAAAGCAGACCAAGGTGTGGGGATGCAGCCTGTGTTGGATGGGGTCACACTCCCCTTGAAGACACAAGTTTGCAGTCTGGGGTGCTTTTGGACTCATCGCTGACCCTGGAACCCCATGTCAGCAGTGGCCAGTAGCGCCTTTGCACAATTAAAACTTGTGCGACAGCTGCGCCCATACCTCGAGACACCAGATCTGGCTATGGTAGTCCTCGCCTTAATCACATCCCATTTGGACTACGGCAATGCTCTCTATGTGTGTCTGCCTTTAAAGATAGTTCAGAAGTTTCAACTGGTTGTGAGATCGGCAGCCAGATTGCTAATAGGAGCTCCGTACAGAGATCCACTCCCATGTTGTGGCAGCTCCACTGGCTGCTGGCCTATTTCTGGGCTAAATGCTGGTCATTACCTTTAAAGCGCTAAATGGCTCGTGTCCAGGCTATTTGACCAATCACATTTCCTCTTACAAACCAGCCTGGGCACTGTGGTCATCAGCAGAGGCCCTGCTCTTGGTCCCATACCCATCTCAAGAAGGCCTTCTCTGTGGTCACCCCCCACCTCTGGAACTCCCTCCCTAAAGAAATAAAGCTGCCCCCTCCCTCCTTTCCTTCAAAAAACAACTGAAGACCTACTTTTGCTCACTAGCATATGGAGAGGAGGAGGATTAGATGGTTGAGAGATCACTGCCGGGCCTCTAGTTGAGAACTATTTGTATTTGGGCTTTCCTGGTCCACGCCAGCCCAATGACCTCATTTGACTACATAACCAACCCACACCGTTTTGTTAACCCTTGCTGGCTGATGTAATTCAATGTGGATGTTTTGTTTAGATTTAATTATATGTTATTATATAATTTCTCTGACTACATGTCGTTTAATTTATTGATGTTAGATTTAATTTAATGATGTTAGGTTTTAATTTGATTTTAGATTTTAATGTTATTTTCATATATGGGGTTTTTCTGGGATTTTATTTCAGTATTTGTTTGTTTTATGCAGGCATTGAATGTTAGCTGTCATATGTTGGACTCCGCCCTGAGTCCCCACGGGGAGATAGGGTGAAATACAAATAAAGTTTATATTATAATTATAATTATAATTATTATTATGTAGTCAACTTGAAGTGAATATCGCAGACACATATGTTGGTGTGACCAAAAATTAAGACTTCCCGCATAAAAATTATTTAAATTTAGATATTACTTTTATAAATTGTCAACAGCAAGCATCTAAACCAGCTGGTTCTCAACCTGGGGATTGCGACTTCCAGAGGGGTCAATTGGTTGTCTCTGGGGGGTCGCGCTGCCACCTCCTCAGGCCCCACCTCCTCTGCCTCCCCAGAATAGCTGCTGGGGTGCCTCCGGGAGTCAGGGAGAGCTAAGGAGGCCGGAGGCAATGGCTGGGCCTAAACAGGAGGCTGGAGGTACCCCACTGACACTGGGAAAGAGGCGGCCTCATTGGGCTGTTCGCATTGGTCGGCTGGGTTGCCTCCGGCCTCCTGTTTAGGCCTCTGCCACAGGAAAGAGCGCCTAAAAAGGAGGCCGGAGGTGGTGGTTGGGCTTAAACAGGAGGCTATAGGCGCTGGCTGAGGCCAGGAAGGAGGCAGCCTTATTAAGTCCTCATTGTCCACCTCCTTCCCGGCATCTGTCAGGGCACCTCCAGCCTCCTATTTAAGCCCAACCACCACCTCCAGCCTCCTTATTAAGCCCATCCAGTGTGCTTTTTCTTGCAGTGGAGGCTGGAGGTGGCAGCTGGGCCTAAGCAAGAGACTGGAGGCACCCTGGCTGATACCAGGAAGGAGGTGGCCTCATTGCATCTTCCTCATTGCCCACCCTCTTCCCAGCCTCAGCCGGGGTGCCTCCAGTCTCCTTTTTGGGCCCAGCTGCTGCCTCCAATCTCTGCTGCGGAAACGAGTGCCCCAGTTGGGACTAAAAAAGAGGTTGGGGGTGGTGGTTGGGCTTAAACAGGAGGCTGGGGGCATCCTGGCTAATGCCAGAAAGGAGGTGTCCTGATTGGGCCCTCCTCATCAGCTGCCTCATTCCTGGCGTCTGCCACACACAGAGAGCTACTGCAGCTGTTAAAGTTCTAAAAGTACCAAATACAGATGAGAATAAACAAGTATTTTCTTCTCTAACCAGTGATGAAGCTCAACGCCAGCAGTGGTAAGGCTATAAGAAAATCTGGGGGGTGGGGTGTCAAAGGTGTTGGCTTTCCTGATGCTAAGCTTTATGCTGTTGTAGGCTCACATTAGCGGAACTGGTTGTTCAGATCACATGAACCCAAAGCATTTAAAGCTTTAAAAGGTAAAACCTGTATCTATTATAACATTTTATGGCTATACTGAAGCACGAAGTTTTAGAATATGTAATTATTACCTTGACCATGTATACTTTTGCCATTTAAAAAATTTGTTGAGAAATTGTCAAATTCAATTGTCAGATTTGTATAAAATTCTACAGTTTTGCATAAAAATGTTCAAACACATATTTTAAAGATTAACCATTAATCAACTACTGTAAGCTAAAACAACAGGAAGACTTAACATGACCAGCCAAAATGGAAATGTGGCAAAGCATTGTCAGAGACCATTTCCCCTTATCAACTTACCTGTAAGGTACACAGGCTTCCTGCCCAGTTTATCCGATAATGGGCCAAATATTATATTTCCAATAAGCAACCCAGCAAAGTACAAGGATGATGCCAGGCTCACCTTATAAGCTTCATGTCTGATTAAATACCACTGTTGAAAACACGATGGAGTCCTTGTCAGTTATAACATAGTAACAAATCAGTAAGGATTTAGGTGTCTTTCTAGATTATATCAAATAATCTGTACAACAAGCTAAAGAAGGACATTATGATGTCAGAATAAAGGCATTGTCAACCCCAGGGTGACGAAGCCATTCCTGTCAAGTAGTGAATCCAGGCTCAGTTTGACAGGTGCTACTCCTCCAACTGCTAAAAAGAAAATGTCTGCTGAAGTCAGATAGAAGGGGTTTTTTTTTGGGGGGGGGGGGGGGAGATGGATAGTGTACATATCTTCTTGCATACATATCTTCTTGCATTTGAAAATACAGTAGTTTAAGAAGTACGCAATAAGCAGGAATCTGATTTTTTGCCACCATGATGTCTTATTCTTCCCCCTTTCACTCCTAACCGCTTTATTGGATATAACATAGCTTTTAGGAAGACATGAAGTTTAAAGATGGCATGTTAGTGTATTGTTGTTTCCTGCTGCTTCACTGCAATGCTCTTGTTATGTGACGTCATGCTATGCAATGTAGTGTTGCCAAGTTTTTCAAACGGATAGCCAAAATTCATGATGAGTAGCTATTAACAAATGTGTAACGTACCTAAATACCAAATAAACATATTGATCTTATTCACCTCACCATCTATTTCTCTGTAAAGTTAGTATATTGTTAACATTGATGCAGTATATTTACTTATAAATTTGTTGTTATCCACCTTTCTCTCAAAATAGGGACTCAGGGCAGCTAACAACAAATCAAAACAATGCAAACGCATTAAAATATGATGATAAAAATTGAAAAACAATTAAGCCTTTTGTGTTATTAAACGTAAAATATTAACATACATTTAAAAATTACACACCCACTCATAATGTCAGACTTTAGAACAGTGTTTCTCAACTTGGGTGTTGGGACTCCGGGGGGGGGGGGGGTTGAGAGGGGGTTTCAGAGGTGTCGCCAAAGACCATCAGAAAACATATATTTCTGATGCTCTTAGAAACCCCTTTGGCAGAGAAGGCTGACGATCTCTTCGCCTGTCCTTCTCTTCCTTTTGGTGGCGAATCCTCCCACCAAAAGCCCTCCTCCACTAAGATTGGCCGGCCTCTCAGCCAAGGGGAGGACTGGACCCAAGCCATATAGGGCTTTATAGGTCAAAACCTGGAAACAAATTGGCAGCCAATGAAGCTATGGCAAAAAATTGTGTGCTGCTGCTATCCATCCCCAATTAATAACCCAGCTGCTATGGACCAACTGAATCACTTTTCAAAGGAAGTCCCACATAGAGTGCATTACAGTACAGTGATACCTTGACATATGAATTTAATTCTTTTGGTAGCCAGGGGGGTCATTAAAAAAGTGTGTATGTCAAAGTAAATTTTCCCATTGACATGCATTGAAATGCTATTAATCCATTCCAGCACCCCCAAAACCAACACCTTTCTCTGCTGGAACCATGATTTACTTTATTCTCTGTGATTTCCGGTAAGATGGCGGAGAACTAACAGCTGGTTTGTGGAGCGGTCCGGTGAGACTACTCAATCTGAACTCAATCCCCCTCATCTAGACTCCCCCAACCCCCAACCGCCTCCATCAGCCCCAAGGGATTTGAAGGAACCCCTGGAGAGCCTTTGGCGAGTTTCCCTTCTAAGGGAGGGGGATAAAGAGGAGTTAAGAGGAAGAGGGAGAAGAGGGGAGGTAGAACGCCGAGGCCTTTTCCATCTAGGGCCTAGCAAGAACGTTCCCTCCCAACCATGACAGCGGCCGCCAGACCACCTCGACTGAGCCACAGCCCAGGAGGGATGTTTGCCCCCTGACCGCTGACTGCCCCCTCACAACACCGGGGAGAAGCAGGACCTTGCCACCGCCGCGGACGCCATTACTGCCGGAGGGCCTACCGAGACGCTGTCCTGGTTGTGCCGCCCGGCGTTTGTTTGGCGCTCCGCTCCACGGCTGGCGCGCCACTGCTTCGCTGCTTTGGTCGCTTGCCATCTCGGCGTTCCAGCTGCTCGGCGGTTCCCTGCGGCGTGAGCCGGCCTCGTCGCCCTCGTTGCGCCCAGGCCATCGGGTGGAGGCAGACGGCGTTCTGGGTCATTGTGGCCTCCGCTGGACTGGAGGGCCTGGCGCGCGGCTGCTCCTCAGCCTGATTCCAGCCGGCGCCCGCTGCTTGCTTCCTGCTCGGCGCTTCGACGTCCCTCATGCTCCCTCGACGCCCCCTGGCCCTGGGTAGGCTGGCTTTCCATCGCGCCGGCCCCCTGCCGTTCGGCCGGCTGGCTTTCCACCGCGCCGGCCCCCTGCCGTTCGGCCGACTGGCTTTCCATTGCGCCAGCCCCCTGCCGTTCGGCCGGTCCTTCGCCTGACCACCTTGGCTTGGCTACTGGCCCTGGGCGGGACTGGCGTTTTTCGCTGTCTCTAGGCGCCTTAGGCCCAGGGAGGCCCGGCTTTTCATTGTACGGATCATCCACTGTTGCGGACTGATTGTGCTGACTGATCATTGTGCTGTCCAGACTGATTGTGTCGACCGCTCTTGTGACGCTGCCATCTTGTGTTGAACGTGTGTCGAACCTGCTGCCATCTTATATGACGCCTATCATTGCGTCCACTGTTTCCATCTCCGGAAGGACTGGTGCTGACCGTGACGTTTTTTGTCTCTACCATCACGTCTCTGGTCTGTCCGCTCATGACTCAGGGTTTTAATACAATCCTCAGAGCTCTATACCAAAGAACCAGACTCTCATTCCTTCCACACTGCCCCTTGAGGTCAGGACAAAAAGTGCAAATAACATCCATTATACAACGGACAATCCGTAAAATTGTGCTGTTGAGTTACCAATAATTGCATATATTGTCTCCATTACGGATTACCATCTGCTCTGCTGGGATCATCTTCACCCAAGACGGCCAAGAAGAACCGGAGACCTGGCCCTGGGTGCCGGCTTGTTTGCTCCACGGGCCCAAGGACCTAGGTTCTTCGGTGCGAACTGTCTGTCTTGACTGAGTGGTTGGAAAGTGAATCCATTTATAGTAGACATTCTTTGCATTATTGTGCACTTTAGAACTATCTCAGCACAAAGTCACTTTAATCTAAGCACTTTAGTTCCTGCTAAATCCCATATCATTACTCTAGGCACTTTAGATCTTGCTAGATTCCATACCTTGACTAAGTGGTCCAAAATCCTAGGTCAAGTGGTCATAGCCATTGCACTTTATGTTCTGTTCTTTGGGTTCCTGCTAACTGTTTACATCAGCATACTACCTCTAGGTCAATGTTCACTTTACCTTTGCTGCTATTGATATCCCTCCAATTTCCAGCGCAAGTGCACTTTATAACAACTCTAGCACAAGTGCACTTTATAGTATTAACACAAGTGCACTTTACAGCTTTTTCAGCGCAAGTGCACCTTATAACAACTTTAGCACAAGTGCACTTTATAGCATCAACACAAGTGCACTTTACAGCTTTTGCTACACTGGAAGGAATAGATAGCATTAAGAGGTGGGAATATTGGGACCCAGAGACAGATAATCAGTACTATGAGTATGCGTCCACTATTGAGATTACAACTGCTGGAAATGGAGGGAATGTCCCCGGGGGGGGGCTGCGGGTGGGGGGGCCGCCATAGAGGTGGTGACTGGGAGAGGGCGATACGGGAAAGGGAGTATAAAACATTCATTTCGGCCCAAAATTTTTAATAACAAATTGGCAACCTCCAAAGATCTTAGAAATCAAAGACAAAAGCAAATTCGACCCAAAATTCTAAATAGGACATTGACAACTCCAAAAATTAATGCTACTATTCGGCCCGAAATTAATAATGACAATTTGACAACCCCAAAACCTACTCCTGACAATATACAACTGAGGTGCCAGGATGGTGGCCCCTCCAAGCTAAAGGTGGTGCTGTTCAATGCCAGGTCGGTAAATGGAAAATCTTCTATCATTCAAGATCTAATCCAAGAAGAACGAGCAGACCTGGCTTGTATAAGGGAGACCTGGTTGGACGAGGGGGGAGGGGTCAATCTCTCCCAACTCTGTCCACCAGGTTATTCCGTTCAGCACCAACCAAGGCTTGGAGGGCGGGGAGGCGGAGTCGCAGTGGTCTATAAGGACTTTATTCCACTGATCAGGTGTCCCATCCCACAATCATCTTCCTTTGAATGTGCCGGCTTTAGGATAGGTGACCGGGACAGGATAGGGATTCTGTTAGTGTACCGACCACCCCGCTGCACTACAGTCTCCCTACCTGAGCTAGTGGGAGTGGTCTCGGACATGGCGTTGAGCTTCCAGTGACTTCTGGTCTTGGGAGATTTCAACGTCCATGCCGAGGCCCCTCTTTCTGGCGCGGCTCAGGACTTCATGGCCGCCATGGCAACCATGGGCCTGTCCCAACTAATATCGGGTCCCACCCATAGTGCCGGGCACACTTTAGATTTGGTTTTTGTCCAGGGATGGGATGAGGGTGACGGGATGGAGGAGCCGACCATCACTCCGTTGCCATGGACCGATCACCACCTGATCAGATTTAGACTAACTGGGCCTCCTAACCTCCGCAGGGGTGGGGGACCCATTAGAATGGTCCACCCCAGGAGACTTATGGATCCAAATGGACTCCTGACGGCTCTTGGGGATCTCTCCACCTCCTTGGCTAGTGATACTGTCGATACTCTGGTCTCTCGTTGGAATAATGAGTTGACTAGGGCAATTGACACTATCGCTCCGGAATGCCCCCTCTCGAGTAACCGAGCTAAACCAGCTTCTTGGTTCACCGAGGAGCTGGCAGCGATGAAGCGAAAGAAGAGGAGGTTAGAGTGCATGTGGCTCCAGAACCCCACCAATCCAGCCCAAACACACCTGAATGCCTTTCTAAGGTCCTACGGTGTGTCAATAACAGCAGCTCAGAAAATATTCATCACAGCCAATATTGCATCAGCGAAGAATCGTCTGGCGGAGCTTTTCCGAGTTGTCAGGGGCCTGTTAAATCCGCCAAAA